ACAACCCACGGACTCGGAGGAAGCAAAGCAAGATATTGTTTTTCAGGGCTCATTGGGTAGCCTAATCCCAAGCACAGCCTGAAAGATGGAAAGTTTTTGAGCTGCTCTGAAAGCGCAGCATGTTTTATCAGCGCATGCAACACGGGGATTGTCGCCTGGTTTGCAGGGATTGTCGCCTGACTTTTGGCATGTAATTGCACCTTTCAAGCTTATATCTGTGATGCCGAGTCTGCACACGTACCTCAACAGCAGATCTTTGCATCCAGAACTTCCTTCCTAGAAGCAACAGCGACTGCAAACAAAGCAGAAGTCCATTGCTTTACCTGATCCACTCATCCTTTGGCCTCGACCGGAAGGAAAAAGAGGAGCCCATACTCTCTTGTCAAAAACCTGGGTTGAAAGAGCAAAGACACTGCAATCGGTCGGATCATCCTTGGCCCAGTGATAGCAAACTCCATGCCCCAGTTTTCACAAACTGCTAAAACCTACAAATACTTCAAAATTGAGTTTCAGCGGGGATAGTCGACTATTCCGCTTCAGACCATCATTACAGGATGCAGGTATAACGAAGACCCCAGGAAGACCACCCACCATCCATCACGACATCCATCCACGCATCAACGATAACGAAGAACCTTCAAGACGACCACCCGCCATCCATCACGACATCCATCACGACATCGATAACGAAGAACCTTCACGAAGACCACACGCCATCCATCACGACATCCATCCATGCATCAACGATAACGAAGAACCTTCACGACACCCCGCGAACACGCAGAAGGTCGTCGTTCTTGCATCTCGACAACGCAAAAACACGCAGGTGTTGCGTCTCGACAACCAAAAAAACACGCAGAGGGTTGGCGTTCACGCGATCACGACACCCCGCGACCGCGCAGAGGGTCGCTTTTTTGCGTCTCGACAACGCAGTTTTTGCGTTTCGACAACGCGAAAACACGCAGAAGGTTGTCGTGCATGCGTCCGAACGATCACAACACCCCGCGCACATGAACGTGCAGAGGGTCATCGTTGTTGCGTTTCGACAACGCGAAAAAAGCGCGCAGAGGGTTGTCGTTCAATCGATCATGACACCCCGCACCAAGGGGGAAGGAACATCATTTATGGGTTTCGACAACGCGAAAACACGCAGAGGGTTGTCGTTCATGCGATCACGACACGCCACACGCACGCTGAGGGTCGCGTTTCGACTACGCGAAAACACGCAGAGGGTTGTCGTTCGCGCGATAACGACACACCGCACCCACGCAGAGGGTCATCGTTTTTGCGTTTCGAAAACGCCAAAACAGGCAGAGGACTGTCGCGTGCGGCGGCTCCCGCCAACCCTACCCCGTGCTTTAAAACATATTCTAACAGGACAACCCACCAAATCCATAACGCCATCCATCCGGGCATCATCCATCACGCCATCCATCACGTCATCCATTTAACGACCACTCTTTAACGACAACCACCTCTGCTTTCGGGAATTACATACGCTTAAACTTCCTTCGAACTTTTTGCACACTTCCTTGATGGACGTGACCCCTCGTCTGCCAATGGCAAAGCAGCTATCAGCACGACCTGCATGGTTTTCTTGATTGCATGTGATGACACACCTCCAGCACGTCATCACCGCTGGTAAGTGGTGCTGCTTTCGGCACCGGATCCTGCAAACCGAGTTGAGGCATATTCATGATGCTGACATGAGCATCATGTGGGCACGCACATGCATCCTCGGCTGGCTTCGCCTCGTTTTCTTTCGCCAGCTCGTACAACCTCCACATGTGCATTTGAAGGCATTTGCTGAGGTTTCCACCCCATGAGACCGGTGAGACATGAAAAATGCTGAGATCTCCATGCTCTTAACCATGATAGGACAGAAGCATACTGCTGCTATTGAAGAGAAGCCTTTGCTTGAAGACTTCCTGTGCCACAGGCTCCATCGCCATCTCGCCGGCAACTTTGTCTCTACAAGCGGGGGCTGTTTCTCTGTACATGTGCCGACTGCCAGGATTGTGGTCTTGAAATAATTGAAATACACGTACTCTGCCCTCCCTTGGCCGTGTCTCTTGTGTGCTCATGCGGAACTGAACCAAAGCCTCTGACAAGAGCTTCCGGCCAGTGGCACAAATGTTTGGAGCCCAAATCATTGCGCAATTGCTGCCTTCAAACTTCAAGTTAGCATTCGTGTGCAGTTTCAAGTGCTTCTGGCTTTGGGGGTCAGACACTTGCGAAAGCCCTGTGAAAGCACCCTCTAAGAAGAAAAGGCTTCGTCTTGGCATTGGTTTTGCCTACAGTAGAAGGCGCTCGGAGGCAGTCCCCCGGCCTACAAAGAAGATATAATAAGGTTACGCCACTGATTTGCGGGCCACCAAATTGCTCGCTTGCAACTACAAAAGTTTCTCACTTGCGACTTCAGATTTGATCACATGCGGCGAAAACCCAATGTCTCTTGCGACTCTATTGGCCTGTCTGATGCCCGAATGTGCCTTTGAGTTGAAGACCTGGCGACTAAAATAACGCCCTTCCAACAACTCACCTACAACATCTTTTCCGGTTGGGGCTTGGGGCCTCATCGGCGATGTGGCCTGGTGTGTTGCGAAAGTCGTCGTACACATCATAGTCGTGATTGAGATCTTTGCTCTGCAAAACCCCAAAAAACATCCACTGTGGCTTCCGGCAACAAGCACATCGAACTTGATAGCGGAGCCAAGTTGAGATAAAACTTCCTTTCTGACTATCCACGATCAAGACAAGCGATCCCTAACAAGCATCGCTTTCAGACATCAGTCACGGCACTTTCAGGTAGGTCAGCAGCAGATGGTCAATGGTGCAAAACTTCCTACAAGGACCCGATTCAGAAATGTGTGCGTGAAGGTTACTCAACTGGTGATGCCTGGTCCTGGAGACTCCGGCACGGATGTTCCCCCACTTGCGACAGTGCCATCAGCGAAAAAGGAGCGAGTGGATTTGCCTTCTTGGTTTGTGATCGTGTGTAAGCGCGAGCCTTTCAGCTTTTGCACTCGTGTTGCGGAAGCGTTCGCGATTTGGAGTTGAAGAGTTTTTGATCAGATCTCGAGTTTAGGACCTTCATAATGCGGGTGCAAGGGCTGCGCTCACTCGAAATTGCGTGCTGGGGGTCTGAGCCTTTTTGCACCTGAGCGCAAGGCTTGGTTTGGGATTCCACCAGAATGGATCCTTGCTAAGCTCCGCCGGAGCACAGGCAGCCGACCGATGCTTGCTAATTACCGTCTCCAAGGCCTCTTGACCGTTCCCTCGAGCACGTCAGACCCTCCATCCCGTAGCCACAACCACGCTAATGATAATAATGTCACACAAAAGGGAACTCTCGGATCGGAAAAAAGCAGCCAGGCAGCCGCCTGCACTGCCGAGGATGTTTGAGTTCAAGACAACCTGAGAATGGGGGGCTACCCGAGTTTTGATGGTAGCTTGTCAGGTGTCCTCGCTTGCAAAGTGGAAGTCTCCAACTTCCACGGTGGCGACGCTTCAAAGAAGCGTCGCACAAACAAATTCAATGGTACAGACAGGGGCCCTCTGCTGTGGCCAGCGCTCAAAAGTGAGTCCTGGCATAACAGACCCTGCAATGGCCGTCCATCTTGTGGCAAAGGTCTCCATTCGGAGATTCGCACGGCAGTGGAGATTTGAGAACAAATCTAGATGGGAACGAGTCCCAGGCTCCGACTACGCAAGCGACTAAGCGCCAGAAGAGGTCGCAACTCCAACTAAAGCTTCTGTCCTAAGTCAGTAGGATGTAAACATTCCAGCATCACTCCCCACCGTTCCACTGCTCGAGGTGAAAACCGGAAACATTCGTCGTCAGTGGGCGAAAGTGACCCTGTAGCAAACTGCGTCCGAAGAGAAGATCCCCAAGTCCTCAGAGTCGCAGCTGAAGGCAGGCTTCCGAGGCTTCCGAGGCTCCGAGGCTCAAGTTCAAAGGCTTCCGAGGCTTGGGCTGACGGGGGGGGGGGGGGGGCTGCCTTTACGTTGCACATCGTTGCACCAACGCCTAAGCTTCGATTCCCAACGCCAAACAAGTCAAAACAAGTCAAACCCTTTCCCTGCACAGCAAGGCAGGGTTTCCCATTTCAGGGTTGTGGAGGCGAAAGTCCTCTGCTTAGCACTTGCGGAGCCTTGAGACCCCAGTGCAACTTTACAAGGCCAATGAAGGTCTGTGTTGCCGAGCTGCGGGCTCAGAACACGCCAGAATCTGTAAAATCTCTCAATGTTGTGCATCTATCCATGGGCTTGTGGCGGCACACGGCAGCGCTTATGGGCATCAGCATGGAGGGCGAGTCCGCGGGCACGTGGCATGTCAGCACATTTCGGCAAACTACGGGGGCCTGGGACGGTGTGGTGGGAGCCACCGAGTGTATCCCTGACCCTGTGTCTGACGAACCGTAAGACCGAGGCGGCAAACACTGACGAACCCTCGAGCCTGAACCTCGGTTTTAGATCTGTAAGGTTAGGTTGCGTTTCGTCTTCACTACAGACATCTGAACTCCCAAAATCTCACAAGCTCTTCTGATCTCTAAAGAGTCTGGACTGGGTCATACTGGGTCGGACATGCCCTTCGCAAGGATAAGAACCGAACCGAACACATCCTGCACTCGGATGTCGCGCTGTGCCCGAAACCCTCTGCTCAAACTTTGTGACCAAGCTGCACTAGCGCACCACGCCAGATGCCCACGTTCACCCAACTGGCAGCTGTGGCTGGGGTTTGGGCTGGGATGGGCCATCGGGGGTTTTGTCGACATGCAGTGAAGGCCTCTTCACTGGGTCGAGTGGGCAAGCTCATAGAGGGTCAGGAAGACGAGGAACCGAACCTACTTGGAGAAGGGAGGGGGGGGGAGTAGGAAACCATGTCGCTGAGACTTCCATGGCTACAACGCTCTGTCATGACACATCCAACACAAGCTGCATCTTGGAGCCGTCATGAGAACTGCACGTCTGCACAAGGTCCAAGTCCCAACCGCCTCTTAGGCTTCCGTGCTTGGCGGCAGGGGACTTTCCTGCACCAGACGTAAAAATTGAAGCCCTCAAGCTTAGGGGGCCGGATCTTGGGCTGCTCTGCTCATGCCCTCCAAAGTTCACGGATGTCTGAAACCACTCCATTGCAAAAAAGACGACTTGTCCGACATCTGTCAAGGCATACATCAGTCTGCACGGGTTCCTCGAGGACTCCACGCAAGCACTTGGCGTAGGGAAATCGGACTCTGAGCCCTTTGTATAACCGGCCTGTGCCTTAAGCAGAAGCTCCGAGCAAAAGCCCCAAAAAGCAGCCAAAGCCGCTGATGCCGAAGCCTGGCCTCGTTGCCCAGCATGCCCGGCTTCTCGGGATGAACCTTCTCCTCAGGCTCGGCTTCGCAAAGAAGCGTTGCGGCTTTGAGGTACTTTGACGATCTACAGCGCATCTACAGGCTAGCACTGGCTATGCTCGAGACTTTCGGTCAGTTTAGCGAAATTAGCGAAAATAGCGAAACTAGCGACGATAACGTCAGATCTCGGCCATCACACAGAACCGGTCATGACACACTGGTCGCTGGCATGGCCATTGCAAGCTGTTGACACTGCTCCTTTAACCACACTGGGACTGCACACGCGCTACTGAATTCTATCCCGAACGGAGGGTTGCATGAACAAACGAGCTTCTGAAGTATAAGCAACTGGTCAACCAAGCCACGAGAGCGATGCCTGTTGTGACAGCAGTAGAGTTGATTTCGATGCCTGGGCAGAAAGATTCAACAGTCTTTCAATTTGGCTTAAGCAAGGTTCTAAATAAAGCCTTGGGATCTAAACAAAGCGTTGATCACTCTCGTGCCCCCACAAACCGCCACGTGATCCCAGTCTGTAATATCGGATGGAAAGAAAGACGCAGGGAACGCAGTCGCGACCTGTGTGTATGGGCTGGGTCCATTTCACATATGCCACTTTTGTTGCCGAAGGAAGTGCATGAAAGCAATGCATGTGATGATACCCCCAACATGCATATTACCAACGGAGATAACCCACCCAAAACAAGCAACACCATATGTCCAACGCGGATGAGCAACATTCATTCAGGCCCGAAGGATGATACAGATGCGTTACGTACATTGCAGCCGGCGAGACCGATCTTCTGCTACCAAGCGCTGGAGGTTGGGTCGCACATGTTCCCGGTTACAAGTGAGTTCTAATTCACGGCTAACAGCGGCTAACAGAAACCTCCTCACACAGGCGGGGTGCTGTAGGCTTTGCTTGGAGAGTGCTTCACAGCATCGAGGCCTGCATCCTGGTCCTTTCGCAAGGGCCGGATGTGCTTGGATGACTGTAATTCAAACTCACTCTGCTGGAGCATCCTCTCGCAACTAGAACGACTTCCTCCGAATGATGCAAGCACAACTATCACATTCTGTGCACTCCTCATCGCTCCCTAAACACACAACAAAGCCCAATCAGCCTACGCTCAAAACTTGCCTCCTTAATTCGAAGCCCAACTCTCTACACGTCTATGCTTTCAAGCCCAGAGCCCCTTCAAGGCCCTATTTACAGGCCGTCGACACCTGAAGCCTGCGAGTTTCCTGGCCAACTCCCCCTACAAGACACTACGCCACGGTTTGGGAGAACCCTTGTAGGGTCAAAACCAGCAAAAACTGGCAAAAACTGAAGCACTGCCCGGATCCTCGTCGGACACCCGAAGGAAGCCTGAGTCGATGGATGCATTGGATGCTCACTTGGAGCCCCCGCTGCGGTCAAGGGGTCCAGGGTCGCCGTGGAGAGGAGATTGGAGTGTTTAAGAGGTTTTGGGGGAGTTTGGAGTTTGCTCTAAACCCTAACCAGGGGGGCCCCTGGTCTCTGCGAAGAGCCCAGTACCCAGTGACATCTGCTCCATAGAGGCGCATGGAAAGTTCGCTACACAAAATCCCCCTGAAAACAACGCCCCGAAACCCTGAGAACCCTGAGAATCCTGAGAACCGCTGTGACAAACTTTTGCATCCCTGGGGCCACTGAATCGCAGTGGAAGGAAGATGAGGGCCGTCCTGCGAAGCGGGGAGTTTGCGAGTCAGGCAGGGGTTTTAGGGTTCATGGTTCAGAGTTTAGGGTTTAGGGTTTTGGGGTTCAGGAATGAGGTTTCGGGGTTCCGGTTCTGAGGTTCAGGGTCAGGGTTTAGGGTGCAGGGTTTAGGGTTTAGGCAAATCCCCACATAGTCCCACTGGTTGCCGACTACACTATGGGGGGTGTCCACCATGTCAGTGGCAAGTCTTACGCTCCAGACCACCCCTCGCCTTCAAGGGTCCAGCCCTCCTAGGGACCATGGTTGGGAAGGGGACGGGAAAAGGGTGGGTTCCCTTTTACAATACCCAACCCCAAAAAGGGTACCTTTATTCTAATATGGTTACTTCCTACCAAGGGGAAAAAGGGTTTAGAGTTGTTGGGTTTGGGGTCTAGGTCTTGTGGCTTTGGGGCACTTAAGGCTCCGGACTTTGGGATGTTTGAGGTTTAGGATTCAGGGTTCTAGGGCTCTAGAGCAAATTGTTCTAGGGTTCCAGGGCCCTAGGGCCGGCTCTAGGCTTGAAAAGGCTTGAAAGTTTAAGGTTCAGGGTAGAGGGTGGGGTGTTCCCCACCATGGATCATTACACATGAGCGAAACATGCAGCCCAGAGGACGTCAAAAGCTCTTGAACAACCCTGGCCATGAAGACAAGGCTCCAAAAGCCGGACCAAAGTGTAATCATGATCACCTGGCGAGGACTGCGGGCGCATGAAACCGCACTTACTTGCTTTGAGCTCGCTGGGCTAACAAAGTTTAACCTTGCGTTCCATGACTGAAAGCAACAACATCGGCCAACAAAACTGGTGTCTAAAGCTGAAGGAGTCTACTGCATTTAGATACATTGCGGTCCGCACGGACAATGTGAACGATGCAACTGCCTTGCCTAGGCTTGAGTCACTTCACCCTTGCCTCGAGCAAGTTCGCCGCAAAACCATCCCCGTTCCCGCCCGAAATGCAGGCGCCACTGTCCTCGATGCTCGGCTCACCCGACTGTGGGCTTGCTACTCAAATCAATAGCTTTCAGAACATGCCCCTGGAACATAACCCCAGCCATCGCGCCCAAAGCAATAAAAAACATGCTATTATGACACTTAATCTCAGGGCATGCCCTAAACAAGGAGGTCGTTTCTGGGCATGTGCGTGAGGCTTGCCCCCCCCCCCCGGCTGGCAAAAAACAAAGCTAATCTAAAGTATCATGCTGTTTGGCGAAGGTCGATACTCAAGTTTAGCGTTTTTGGTAGGCGTGGGGGGGTTTGGCTTTTGGGGAAACGGGTTTGCTGAAGGCTTCATTGAGGGTGAGCCGCCCTTCCTCAATTTCATATAGTGTCTTGGTACATTTGTATTGCAATGTTACAGTGTTTTCAACGCATACATCTCGGGGCATGTTCAATTTGCCGCGGATCCTCACGGGAGAGGTCTGGGACCTCGGAAGCAGAAGACACCTGAATGTCTGGTAGCAGCAATTGGGGTTCTCGGAAGGCAAGATGGAAAGCGTCATCGAGCCATTCGTAGGGTTCCAATTTGCTCGGCCTGAAAGCTTTAGACGGCTGGCATCGAGAGGCCTGTAAAGGGCCAGAGCTTCTCGATCGGGAGGTTTGCCGGACAAGCCATAAAAAGTCGGGCCGTGGGGGTCAGAAGATGGCTCAATGGAAGCGAGGTAGTCGGAAACCTCGCCATTGACTTACCCTCGGCGTCGTGCACTGCAGGCACTGAACAGCCTCTCAATGTGTCCAAGGGCCTTTGCCTGGTGTGCATTGGGGGGCCTCCGCAGGGCATCTCTGGGCACAGAGGCTCCGCCAGAGCGCAGGAAGTTCTCGGCAGCGACGGAAGGCCAGCCGACGCCGTGCTCGGGATCCAACACGGGGACTATAGTGCTCAAACAGACCGAGTATGGGAGCGGCAGCGGGAACAGAGCCTGTGCCGGGGCTTGCCGGCCTGGGACAGATGCGGAGCACGGGCCAAGGCCCCAGTGGCAAGCAAAGGGCACTGATGTCAACAACAGAGGGCGGAGGCCTATCACTCATGCAAATAGGCCGCAAGCCTGAGGAACCCGTGGTGAAGGTTGCCTGCAGGCGGGGAACCGCTGCGGCAAGAGTCAGGGGAGCAAGAGGGCTCACAAAGAGGATATGTCGGAAGAGGATGGGGAGAGAAAGGGCTCCAGCACCGCACCCGGAAAGGAATGTTGCGGCAACAAAGCTCAATGAGAATGTGCAATGGGCAAGGCAGCCAAGACCCCACCAGCCAGCCTAAGAACCCTGAGCAACCAAGCCCAGGAAACTCGAAACAAAGCAAAAAAACTCAAGCACACAATATGGCATTCGTGGCGATTTTTGCGAAAGCCTGAGGCCTGAAACATCGAAGTAAATATGACAACAATCACGTTGGTGTTACAAAAACCTGAGAAAATGCATCAAACACATGGTATGGCATTGCTGGCTGCTTTGCTGAAGCCTGAAGCCAAAAAAGCAAACACCGCGAATGACATGAATGAGTATTGTTGCTGATATATTCAAGCACAGAGCCTGACAAAACATCTATATCATTTCTATTCTGAACAAGAGGCACGGGTCACATTATACGTAAAGGTCCAAGGCTTATATACATAAATAAATATATGGTCAGCCCCCCCCCCCATGATCCACACCGATGGTTTTCTTGTCTTCGTCTTTGTCTGATTTTCTGCTTTTTCCTCGGAAAAATGCAGTCAAAACTGCACTGGAATACAAAAAGCTCTAGTATATTATCCTCTATAAAAACACTAGTGTTTTTTTATGTGCATTTTGCTTCTGAAACTTGTGTCTTGCGGCCCCATGAAATTTTTGAAGGGTAGCAATTAGAAGTTTAAGGCTTTTCAGGGTTTTAGGGGCTTGTAAAAATTTAGATGATCTGTGGAAGGCACCGGGGCTTCCCCAGACCATTGGCAATTTTAAAAATCCTTTAAAGGGGCAACCCTTTTCAAATTTGAAGGGTGTTAAGGTACTTAAAGCCTTTCAAAATTTTCAAGATTTAAAGGATCTTAAAAGGCTTTAAAGCCCTTAAAAACCTCGAAACGTTTATCCCTTAAAAGGCTAAAACTCCTTAAAATTAAAAACGGGCAGCCGTTTAAAATTAAGGAAGCTACGGATTTTAGAAAAGGACAGCCATTTACAACTGCAAGAATTTCAGGGTTTTACGGATTTGTAAAAATTTATATGGTCTGGGGAAGGCACCGCGGCTTCTCCAGACCATTGGCAACTTCAAAAATCTCTAAAATCCGCAAAGGGCAGCCACTTAAATACGTAAGCAATTTACGGTCTTTAATAGGCTTAAAAGTCTTAAAACCTAGAATGTTTAAACAGAAGCTTAAAGATTTTTATAAGATTTTAAGGATTTTCAAAGTTTAGATGGTCTGGGGAAGCCCCAGTGCCTTCCCCAGATCATGTAAACTTACAAAAACCCTTAAACCCTTAACCCTAAAAACTTAACACTAAGCCCGTAGCACAATCCTCAAACACTTAACATGAAACCCTAAACACTAACCCTAAAAGCTTAACACTAAGCCCTTAGCACAAACCCCAAACACTTAACATGAAACCCTAAACACTTAAGCACTAGACCCTAAACACTGAACCCTAAACACGTAAACACTACACCCGACCCTAAAAACTAAACCCTAAAAACTAAACCCTAAACATTACACACTAAACCCTACACACTAAACCCTGAACACTAGTAAAAATCCTTAAAACCCTTAATCCAAAAAACCAAACCCGAAACCCTTAACACTAAACCCTAAACACTCAGCACTAGACCCAAAAGAGTAACCCTAAAAAACTTGACACAAGGCCCACGAACCCCAAACACTTGACACGAAACCCTAAACACATAAGCACTACTAAACCCTAAAAACTCAGCACCAAACCCTAAACACGAACCCTAAAACCTTAACACTAAGCCCTTAGCACAAACCCCAAACACTTAACAGGAAACCCTAAACACTTAAGCACTAGACCCTAAACAGTAAACCCTAAACACTTAAACACTACACCCTAAAAACTAAACCCTAAACATTACACACTAAACCCTACGCACTAAACCCTGAACACTAGCAAAAATCCTTAAAACCCGTAACCCAAAAAAGAAACCGAAACCCTTAGCACTGAACCCTAAACACTCTGCACTAGACCCTTAACACTAATCCTAAAAGCTTAACACTAAGCGCTTAGCACGAACCCCAAACACTGAACACGAAACCCTAAACACTTAAGCACTAATCCCTTTCTAAACACTAAACCCAAAACACTTAAACACTGCACCCTAAAAACTAAACCCTAAACATTACACACTAAACCCTACACACTAAACCCTGAAAACTAAATCCTAAACCCTAAACAGAAGGATTTTCAAGTTGTCAATGGTCTGGGGAAGCCCCGTTGCCTTCCCAGATCATTTAAACTTGTAAACATTCTTAAAACCCTTAACCCTAAAAAGCCAAACCCGAAACCCTTAACACTAAACCCTAAACACTAACCCTAAAAACTTAACACTAAGCCCTTAGCACAAACCCCAAACACTTAGCACGAAACCCTAAACACTTAAGCACTTAACCCAAAAACTAAACCTTAAACGTTTCAAACTAAACCCTAAACATTAGACACTAAACCCTGAACACTAAACCCTAAACCCTAAACAGTAAACCCCAAAGCCGGAACCTCGAGCCCTACTAAATCTAAACCTGAAACCAAAAACCCGTCGGGGTTTCAGATGCTTACTGTTTGGATATCAGAGTTTGAGTTTTTTTGGGGTTTTAGCCGAGCCGCTTGACCCTAAACCCTAAACCCTAAACTTAACACTCAACCCTAGACACAAAACACTAAACCCTGAAACCTACACACTAAACCCTAAACACTAGATTTCCAGAAAAAATCTGGAGTACCCGGGCCCCGGACTCCAGACTCCAGATTTCCAGAAAAAATCTGGAGTACCCGGGCCCCGGACTCCAGACTCCAGATTTCCAGAGTACCGGGGCACCGGACTTCAGACTCCAGATTTCCAGAAAAAATCTGGAGTACCGGGGCCCCGGACTCCAGACTCCAGATTTCCAGAAAAAATCTGGAGTACCCGGGGCCCCGGACTCCAGACTCCAGATTTCCAGAAAAATCTGGAGTACCGGGGCCCCGGACTCCAGACTCCAGATTTCCAGAAAAAATCTGGAGTACCCGGGGCCCCAGACTCCAGACTCCAGATTTCCAGAAAAAATCTGGAGTACCCGGGGCCCAAGACTCCAGACTCCAGATTTCCAGAAAAAATCTGGAGTACCCGGGGCCCCAGACTCCAGACTCCAGATTTCCAGAAAAGCATATATATATAAATGATTCAGTTTCGGCGGGCCCCCCCCCACCCCCTCCCCCCCCCCCCCAATGGTACCCCCCCCCCCCTGTGGTGTGGTTGGGGGTTGGTTTTAGGGTTTTAGGGTTTAGGGTTTAGGGTTTAGGGTTTAGGGTTTTAGGGTTTTAGGGTTTAGGGTTTTTTTAGGTTTAGGGTTTAGGGTTTAGGGTTTAGGGTTTAGGGTTTTCCCCGCGGATGGGGTACTAAGATGATCCCCCCCCCCCCTGTGGTGTGGTTGGGGGTTGGTTTTAGGGTTAGGGTTTAGGGTTCAGGGTTTTAGGGTTTAGGGTTTAAGGTTTAAGACTTAAGGTTTAGGGTTTAGGGTTAGGGTTTAGGTTTTAGGGTTTAGGGTTTAGGGTTTAGGGTTTAGGGGTTTAGGGTTTAGGGTTTAGGGTTTAGGGTTTTTAGGGTTTAGGGTTTAGGGTTTAGGGTTTTAGGGTTTAGGGTTTAGGGTTTAGGGACCGTAGAGTAGACTTGGGGGGGGGGGGGATACCATGGGGGGGGGGGGGCCCCAGGACGCTCGACGCTGAACCATATATATATATATATATATATGCTCGCCCCCCCCCCCATGATCCACACATTTGGCCTCGGGAAGGGGGTTTTGGGAGGGGGGGACTCCAGACTCCAGATTTCCAGAAAAAATCTGGAGTACCCCCGGACTCCAGACTCCAGATTTCCAGAAAAAATCTGGAGTACCCCCAGACTCCAGACTCCAGATTTCCAGAAAAAATCTGGAGTACCGGGGCCCCGGTGTCCAGACTCCAGATTTCCAGAAAAAATCTGGAGTACCGGGACCCTGGACTCCAGATTCTGGAGTTTGTAATCTGGAGTCTGGGGCCGCGGGTACTCCAGATTTTTCTGGAGTCTTGCCCCCAAGATCCACCCCCAAGGCTGTTCAGAATCTCCTCACTCCATATATATACACTCTTTCTTATACATGCAGATGCAGAAAACGCTGCAAATACCGAGGGTTTTCCTGTTAAAACGATTGTTTCAGACTTCTTTCTTACAGCGATGTGTACATGCAGATGCCAGAAATGGACGACCAGGATCTGGTGGTTCGTTTCTGGTGTTACTGACTTCGTTCTTAGCCTGAAACCCAGGAAAAAGGGACAGTACAGCACTTTCGCCGCTTCAGACTGCAGAAGTGCTGTACTGTCCCTATTTTTGGCTTGCAGGTACCGATAAAGTGCTGTATACTGTCCCTAAAAAACACCTAAAAACCAATCTTTCCAGCACTACCAGCCCTGGAGCCCCCGGTAGTTCCCAAAAGATTGGTTTTTTTTAGGTTTTTAGGGACCGTACGGCACTTTATTGGCACCTGCAAGCAAAAAATAGGGACAGTATAGCACTTTCGCCTCTTCAGACTGCAGAAGTGCTGTACCTTCCCTATTTTTTGCTTGCGTGAAGACGAGAAAATAGGGACAGTACAGCACTTTCGCCTCTTCAGACTGCAGAAGTGCTGTACCTTCCCTATTTTTTTGGCTTGCCTGGGGACGAGAAAACTCTCCAGACTGCAGAAGTGCCGTACTGTCCCTTTTTTGGCTTGCAGGTACCAATCATGTGCTGTACTGTCCCAAAAACCAATTTTTTCCAGAGCTATATATCTTCTCGACGTCTTGCAGTATCTCAAGCAATCAGCCCTAAAAACTATAACTTCGCGAACATATCTCAAGCAATCATCCCCCCATAAGCAAAACCTGAACTCTAATTATACTAAACTTGTACCTTAGCTATCATATCTTAAGCCATCACACCCCAATAAGCAAAACAGAACACTATCTATCTCAAGCAATCATCCCCCGATAAGCAACACCTGAATTCTATCATATGTCGTTTGGTTTGTTTATATCTCGAAAATCCCAAGATGTCGTGAAAGGACATTTGCTTACAATATTCTCGCGTCCCCCGGGGCGCAAGCCCTACTAACATAGGCATACCCCTATGACATGTAAGGTTTAGGGATTGAAGCCTCAAGCCCCATAGGGTTACAAACCCTAAACCTGTCAACCTTAACCCTATAGAGTTTAAAGGTTAAGGGATGAGGCGTAATTGCTAAACCCTACAGCGTTTTCGGGGCTTCTCTTGAAAGCCCTAAACCCTTAACCACTAGGGTACTATATAGGAGAGTAAGCCTTGAAACAAAAACAGGAGCGCAGCGAGAGGGCAGGGCGTGGGGGGTGTTCAGGGGCCCACCCCTGACCCCCCCGCCCCCCCCTGGCCCCTTTTATGAGCAAACTTATTGCTTATAAGCAATGCGTTGTGTGACTAAAACTCCCTCCAACCAAGACTTAGTTACCAACTCATACGGTTCAAACTCTATGGGCGTAGGCTAAAATGCCTAACTCGGAAACCCTAAACCCTATAGGGTTTTACAGGTGAAGGGCTTAGGTGCAATTGCCGGCTTATGTTTAAATGCCAAAATCTTAAAATCCTATAAACCTTTAAACCTTAACCCGATAGAAGACGTCAGGAAAGTCAAGACTACGAGCGCTCGGAAGGGTGGATCTTGGGAGGGGGGGCGAGTATACATATGTGTGTGTACGCACATGTCCGAGTATGCAAATAACATATATATATATATATATATGATATATGTATATATATATAGAGAGAGAGAGAGACTTCCAACATGCTCTATCTAAGAGTGGCTGGGATCAAAGTATCACGAAACTGCAGCTGCAGCAATGACACCGAAACAACGAAAATGGCAAAGCGAGACGAACCAGCAACTGCAGCAACGAATGACAACGGGCAAATAGCACCCAAAAACTTGCTTGCCCTAAACGTCACACTACATACCCATCTCTATGTCTCTATCCATCCCATTCTCAAACCATTGAAGAAACTCCAAACCAGTGCAGCAAGCTCAACTTACGAGTGCAAAGCAGATCAGGCTGCAGGTCGAGACGCGTCGGCGGTGCAAGCGAAGCCCGACCACCCGTGATGCAGGTCCTCCACAGACAATCAACCCAGCATGGGTGTCGACTGCGCTTTCCGAAGTGCCAGGGGAAGTGCAGGGATTGAGTTGAAACCCTCACGCTGCCAAGGAACGAAGCCCTCACCCCAGTCGAAAAGGGCAGCGGCCATGACGCCCCATGCACCACAGGCACCATGCACAGCAAAGGCATCGATCGGGTCGTCCACCTCCCACAGAAGAAACGAAGCAGAAACAGGCTGAGCTACTAGAGCATGGTCATCCCTGGAAACCGCTATGGGTGCAAGAAGTGGTCACTGGTCAGACCCAGCCTTCAGCTTCTTGAGCAACGAAGAAGATCCTGCAACTCAAAGCCCACCAAAAAGCGCCAGTTTGCACTTTGATGAGCAAACTTCGCAAGAAAATCCTTGTTGGCATTACTTGACTCTTTGCGATCCACTTTCCACAAGTTCCATCGGCTTAGGTCCTTGGTAGACAAAGGCTCCAATGAGGGCAATGGCAAAGGCACTGCCGCATTCCACGTTGCCGCACGGAGCGGTGATCGAGACCAAGCCTGCTCGCATCACCCTCATCCTGACTCTACGAAATTGAACTTGAGGGGCATTGCGGAGTAGGGTTAAGGGTTGAGGGGCATGCCGAGGCCAGCGAAAGCTACCCCAAAAGCGAGCTCACGACCCCAAAGCCTCAACACAATAAGACCCTGAATGTCCGTGCAGTTAGACCCCTAAACCCTGAAAATAAAGACTCTAATCCTAAGATTCCTAGTACCTTAAGCCCTCGGCACATACTAACACGGACCCGCGCATACGCCCTTGTGTCTTGCGCTTCAAATCCATATTGAGTTTTGACTTGGTCACAGAAACCAGGTATCCTCTCGGACATCCCAACGGTACTGGTGACTTCTGGCGGTACTGCCGTTCAAGCTCGGGAATGGCTCAGTATCCCTAATCCCAGACCCAGCCCTCAACCCACTAAACCTCATCCCAAATAACCTATACCCATCTATACCCTTTAACCCCCAAAGCACCCCAACCTGTTCTTACGAGCGCGCTGATGATGCAACACATTCGGTGTCCCTTTCCAAACTTATATGAGCTTCTTTGACAGCTCCTCTTGCAAGTGGAAACGGAATGCTCGAAAATCTGTGCAAAAACTACAGAGCTTGAGTCCTAAGAAGCGGTACGGAACTGCACCTGCAAGAATGCCGTTGCAGAAGCCGCCGATGTCGTACTTCCTCCACGGAAAGTGAGCAGGGTTGGCCGATTTGGTGGTGTTGGTCATCTGTGTTTTGTATGGGAATTTACAATATTCCCAGGCTTCCATGGAGAAAAGCTGTCTTTTCAGGGGATTTAGTTGCAGAAAGAGCTGTTCGCGTGTAGCTTCTTACAACGGACATACACACGCGAAGGTGCAAAAAACCAATGCGCTTGCGGACTTTCGCACTGTTTTTGCACTACCAAGACCTCGACCTCGCTTCGTGTTTTGTCGGTCAGAGCAGCGACTCCAACGCTTGCAGAAACGCCTGTGGCGTGGGAGTGGCGGGAAGCGTTCTTCGCCACTCCACTGTAAGATCGTGCGCTTCCCGGATGGATCCTCAACTGAGAAAGGCCATCCTCGCATGCTCCTGAACCGAGCGCACGCGGCAGAGAAATTTCTGACCGCAGGAGGACGACAGTAGAGTCTTGCAAGTAACTTGCTTTGGAACGTGCTCTGAAGCTAACTACCAACTCCCTGGGAGGCTGCACGGGCTCTGGAAAAAATATGGCTTGGGCCGGTTTTGCTTTGAGACTTCTTAGTAAGGGTTGCGCGGTTTGGGTTTTCGCGAGATCACTGCTTTGGGTGCGGCTTGCGCTTTGGGTTTTAGGGTTTTGCCCGCTGAAAGCATTGGAAATGAACGGAACACCCACCCCACCCATCCCCACCCAACCCTGGGAAAACCCGGACGTGCCTCAACACACGCTGCAGTGAGGGGCGGTTTGGTTGCAGAAAGTTTGAACGTTGCGTGCGTAACTACGTTCAGGCTAAGGTTTGCAGAGTCCCTGAGCCTCTCGAATCGATTGGGAAACTGCAGATTTCTTCGCCGGCTGGGGTTTGGCAGGCAGGGGAGGACATCACTCGAACAGAATGGCAATGGCGCGGAACTTGAGTTGCCAAGTTCGGAAGGTGGGCTATCAGATGTAAACCGTCACTAGTCTGCATCCAAGAGCACCTACTACGAAACATTGCACCGGGATGTAGCCGTCTTGTCCGAACGTGGACACCTAACCTATAGAGGAGTTTCAACCGGATTGCCATCCCTGATCTGTTAATCGATGCCAATGGGAACGACTGCAAGAATGTAGGCTGCGCTGAAACCCTTTCCATCATGAGTAGCCTTTAAGCCCGTATTCTGACGCGAAGATGACTCTCCACTTGACCTCAAGCCCTCCGACCGGCCCTTTGGTCATCACCAGGCGCAGCACGAAGACAGTAAGGCCCGCAGTGGCAGCAGCAATGGTGGTGTTCATGGCCACATGGGCGGCCATGAAGCCTGGCTTTTACGGGGGTTGCAAGGTTCAGTTTGGAGGCTTTGCTTTTAAACGCCTTGACCGATGCTGTTCATCCCGAGGGTGGAGCCGCAGTTGAAGCCGTACCTGAGGTTTTAGAATACGTAAGGGTTGGGGTTCCAGCCGTCTGTGAGCAAGGAACCCAGACCCCGCGCCCACTAGGAGTACATGTTGAAAGCTCAAACCTTTGCTCCATGCATTTCTTCAGCCGGGTCGCCAGCCGAACCACCTCGGGTTGAGTTGGAAACTTCAGGACACCCCCTACATCGCCCTCGCAGCGAATTGCCAAAGCGCAGCGGTTTGGGGTTACACCTGCCAAACTCACCGCCTTGCACGAAAACAGCTAGGCTTTTGGGGGTTTCGTTGCTTTCAGTTGGGATTAGTTCGACGGACCCAGATTGTCTGTGTGCGGCATACTAGGGTTCTTGGGTTCTACGTGACTGGACGAAGAGCCTTCCTCTAAAGACGTGATTACAGCTCCGTTCTGATTACTGAGGATCGTCATGTCTTCCCTAATCACTTTATGTGCAAGGACCCGAATCTGCAGCACCCCACACAGGGAAGGCAAAAACGACCTGTTGGGCAGGTTCAAGTAGGGGATACTACTTACCTAGCAGAAATACAGGGGAAGGCATTGTTATTGATGGTCTATGATGCTCTGTTAAACAAGCAAGCCAGCAAGCACCCACAAGATCGCACAAGCATGGCAGCATAACATGCTGGCAGTTGATCTAAGTACTTTGTCCCGGAAACGTGTCTTTCGCCAAAAACACATTTCCTTTCGCGGAACTTTAGCGCGCCTACTCGCGCGCACTCCTGAAGCCAAGACCTATAATCACATAAATGGCGCCTACGTACTACAGCTACGCACATGCGCACTTCTTGAGCAGATGCTGCGTGGGCTGGGCCCTTCATGGGATACGTTAGACTTTCGCGGGACTTTCGCGGAGCTTGCGCCAGTCTTTCGCAAACTCTTAGGATTTCCTAAACCCTAAACCCTAAATCCTCAAGCCCTACACACTAAATAAACCCTAGACCCTCGCGCGTAGTGTGGTGCGAGGCTTTCAGCCAGCTGGGCTTGAGAGACGAGAGCGAGCCTTATGCTGCGGATGCATGGCAAACAGGTGCCTTACATCCAACTTTCGCCAAAAAATATTTCCTTTCGCACACCCTCTTCGTGGATCTTTCGCAGACACTTATACATCCTTGAAATGCAGGTTCTATCAAAATTCCTTACAAGGATCTTGCTGATCAAGCTCGACCGACTCTTGGAATAAAACACCCTGGAACTTGCACTCCATGGCCGTGTCAGTTAAAGATAATGTGGGCAACGCGTGAACTCTCTGTTTACTCGAGCAGACTCCAGGATGAGAAGAGAAAGCTGTCGGAAGGTGTCAAGCTCAGTGGAACTGGCCAATGCCAGTTAGGTTTTAAGATCAGCGCCAGGGCCGTTAGGGAGGTGTACTGGGCTGCGAGGCTTGATCAATCCGTAGCGCATGGGCTTGGGGCGTGATGGGCCGTGATGGGCCGTGATGGGTCGTGGTGTGTAAGTCCTTCGAAGCTGCTCTACTAAGTCGAACGACGGTCACGAACACGCCCTCAAGCCCAATGCCCAGGGGCAAGATGAAAGTGCCCATGGTGATCAACGGCAGACTGTGGGGACCTGGCTCTTCGCGGCTGCACACTCAATAAGCAGCACATTTGGCTCGGCTGCAACCGAGTCCCCCCACACAAATCTAAGTGCTTCGAAGCTACGCTTTGCAAGGCATCTGGAAACAACGCTTAAAAACACCGTCAATTCGTTGCAATTGTTTGCCCAGCATCTGCGATGGATCCGCTTACACTCGAAGACAAAAGGATTGTTCTGCAGCAGCCCGTGCCAAAACCCTTCACAAAGCGTGGCTGGCAGGCCAAACTCGTCTGGGTTCTGAAAGCGACCAGCCCGTGGCCCGGCAATGATGGCACCCATCAGGGCACCCACACCACCTGTGTCGCTTGGTTATGGCCTGCTAGAGAGCTCTTCGTGCACAGACCTGCCTGCAATTCGCAAGGGAAGGGTCAATAGTCTTAAGTGCCTACAAAGCCCTTCTGCGTAGAGGGTTAAGGAGGAAAGCTGATCTAACCGCTGTGCTGCTCATCAAAGTGTTAAGCCTGGTTACGACATTAAGCCGACAGATCCTGCTCACATGCACAGCCTGTCCTGTCATGTGAACCACACCACTGCCGGCAAAGTCCATGAAGCCAACGCTATTAATCGATGCCAGCCATCCATAGCCCCAGGTCCATGCCACAATGACCGGGTAGACGAAGGCCTGGCAAAAAACGTGGAGTGGCTCAAGAGCAAATCGCAAAGGAAGACGTCAGCGTTGGCCCTCAATTCCTAAGGAACCGGCTGTCATAGCGAAGGAGTAGAGACAGTACCCTCCAAAGTTCACGCGCTCGGCCACACCGCCACTCACAATGGTTGCGGCAGCAGAGCCTTTGCAGCATCTTCTGGCAAGGCATCTTCTCCCAGTCATTCAGCACAGTGCACAGCAAGGGCCAAGGGCCATGAAAACCCAGAACTGGAATCCTGCAAGGCTCAATTCAAAGGCCAAGCAGCAGAAGGCCCACCTCAAATCAGATTGTGTTGAAGTTGCTGGTACCAACTACATTGGCTGGTGCTTCGGTCTGTTATCTTGGGGCAGACCAGCATTACGTTGGGGCTTCAGGCGGGATCAAAACGTTTTTTTATGTTGTCGGGCTCAGGTTCTCTGGCTTGAACAGCTTGGCCACTGGAAGAACCAGTTCAGCATGTTCGTAGAAGGTTCGAACTTGCCTTGGCAACTTCGCGCGAGAAGAACAATTTCTACAAAGAATCTTCATCTTCCTTCATCATTGTATCATAGGATCGAAGACTGAAGTTTAGGAACAACACAGTGACAGACGTGCTGATAGCATGATGCTCACGTTGTCGGAGCCTAGCAGACACACTCTCACAGATCTTGGTAACTTCGTGCCTTCGACACACATCAGGCCGAGTGGCCATCCCCCGCGTAGTTCACGAAACCTGGGCAACTTCGCGCAACTGTGGCTCAGGAAACCCCCAGCGAACAGTCATGCAGTCTGCCGTTGAGGAACCAATGCCAAACCACTGCTCCGTACCTGGGACAGTCACTCAGTCAACATGTTTGAGGAAGAGGCAGCTGATGCTCACATGGGTTTCTAACCTTTGCAACGGCTCCCAACCATGCTGAAGTCTCTTTGCGCACCTTCCGATTCCTTTGGTATCCTTTGGTGCTGGCACCCTTCAGAAATGCTTCCATGGCAGCAACTGCAGCAACGGCACCCATGAAGCCATTCTCCAGAAGGCCATCCTTCCTGAGTCGTGATTATGATGGCTGTAGCTGTAGACTTCAGAGTTGCTCTGCTCTACGGGAAGCAAGTCAGCACAAAGAAGACTAATGCAATATCTACAACTCATAGCAATCTCGGCTCGGCTTTCAAAACTTGTTTCGCGGACTACAAGCAGGCACCAAACTCCCAGAGTCTCCACAAAGACTTGAAAAAATTGGGGTGTGACAAAAGTGCCTCGCGTCCGAGCCCAACCCCCCCGCCCCCTCCCGCCGCTCCCTGCGACGACCACAACCCCCATACCGCAGCCGTAACCCGTGTGCCGCAATGGGCAACTGCTAGCCAGCTCCTGTCAAATCTGCCATCAGAAATCCAGAACCAAGACCTGCTGTAACTAAAGGTCGTCGTTTTGAACAAATAACATCTGCGGTGAAAGTGCAAACCGAATGCTGGGGTATCGGAGTGCTTTCTGTGACAGGCAGGGTTGGGGTGGGTTTCGGAGTGTGCTTTGTGAGTGTTGGAGTCTGCTGTAGGGGTAGGGTTGGGGTCTCATGGTGTCTATTGTGAGGGTTGGGGTTTGCCCGCTTGCCCAAGCCTTCAATCTTCAGGGTTCCCCCTCGAACAGCCGCGAGCCACAACAAGAGCAGCATCCCAAACAAGGCAGAACAAAGAACAGGCGCGTGTGGGTCGTGACACCTCACTTTGATTTCTATGCTCACAAATGATTGTCGCTTCGACAAAGCAACTTGTGTCAAGATGTAGCTCCGCAGTTTCACAGACCCATTGCCATGTTCGCGACTGCATGTTCAGTCAGGATATGTCGCTGTCGTTTTCAACATCTCGCATTGTGCAAACGCCTTCTCCTAAACCGCAGGTCCCTTCTACATTCTCAACAGCCAGATGGCATCGGCCCACCGTAGGCGATAGCCCAGCCGGAGATCCACCAGCCAATAGTACCGATGCAAACGTCTGTCAGATTCTTGAGCAAGATGTTTTGGACCTTGGAATTGTGGGCAGTTGTGGGAAAAAAGGGCGGCTGTAACAAATGTTGAGCACCACCTTAGATCGACAGCGGCAAACTCCAATGCTATGACCGAAGCTGAGCGGCATTCTTGGCACGGCAACAACCCGACCTTAAGTCTCTCATCTTTGGGGGCTCCAGGGATAAAACTCTTGCCCCGGCATGCTATTCCGCTAGGCGATGCAAAAGCAAGACAGCAAAGGCACTCAGCAAAGCTCCTTAAGAACCGGACTCCACCATGGCAAAGCCTGCCTGCATGAACATGACCATGGCTCCGCAGATGATCAACCTGACAAGGGATATGACTCCGGCTAGGCTTCTGTCCGAATGCATCCCGTGGCAAAGATTCGGCGCCGCTTTGCTCTTTTGCAAGTAACACGGCTTCTCCGCTGGCACCTACAAACTGCGCCAGGTTCCGGGCCAGATATGATCCAGGGCGCCCTTGATTTCTTCCATTTCCTTGGCACGCCGGTTAGTTACAACTTGAGTTTTGCGAGCCACTTCCAATGGCAAATGCACAGGCAATGTTCATGATGATTCTATTCTAAAGGTTGAGAAACAAGTCGTGATTCCTCCCAGCTGCAATAAAGCCCCCTTGCTGAGGTTCGCACCGTGTACGCACGCGTCTGGTTTACTACCGCACCGTGGATGCTCGGTGGCAGATCGTCGACCTCGCTGTCTCGCTAACTCCAGGCCCCTTCCCAGCATGGAATCTCCAGATGTCCTACTTTCAAACAAAATGTTCTGTCGGAATGACTCTCGAGCTATCAACAACAGCAGTTGTCTCAACCTATGAAGGGTTCATCTGAAAAATCGCACCTGTCATTGCCTTGACCAGACTGTCAAGATTGAGATCCGAAGTTTGCGGCCAGCGTTTGTTGCACGAACTGTCATGGCGACCTTGGAGCCTTGAAGGGTTTTTGGGAAAACTTGATCAAAGTGTTTGGGTCAAGTCTATCTCTCAAAGTCCTCCCTGAACCCACCTGAAGACGTCGCTCTGCGCGGTGGAGTTCCGCACTTTGAGCAGACAGGAGCTCCTGCTGCTGCTCCAACAGACCTTCGCAAGGCAATTCGTGATTTTGTTCTTTGCCTGCGGTTCATTTGCAAGCTTTGAACAGAAGTGTATATGGCGCAGCAAGTAATTGAGCAAGTCACGTTCCAAGGCTTCGACACCTTGGCTAACATTGCAGTTCAAACATAGCAAAGCAAACTCGGAACTCGTACTGGGGAACAGCCTAACAAGAACCACCCGCGCATCATGAACACGTCACAACGTCGGTCCATCAGCCGAAACACGTTGCCGCAGATCTTCGTCGCCCTGCGCGGCTGCAATGGCCAATGTCACCACAACGTGCAGAAATCGCATCGTCATCCTTGACAAGACATGTCGACACACAAAGCATCCTCACGATTAGATTGCGCTCTTGCCTGGACAGCATAACAAGAATGCACAAATGTGTACCCAAGTCACGCCGCGGATATTCTTCTCCGAACTGGCTTTCGCTTCACTACGAAAGTTCCTGCTGCATGGTTGAGCCGACAGCCGTCAACATGCGGCGAGCATTCAAACCCCTTCCCCATATCAAAGATTTGGTTCCGAAATCCTGGCTACCCTGTGGCACTTTGCAACTGTGTACATGAACCTGATGCCAACTTCGCGATGGCACTTCAAAGTTTTGGACAGATCGACATTCAATCAGCCACAAAATTGAACCGTAACACATATGTGCGCGAACTCCTTTTGTTGGATGCATGCACAAGGTTTGTGCATTAAACCAATCCAAACGTCGACATCCATTGTGCTTTTCAAATCCGTTCGAAGGTGGAAACCAGCCCGTACGCATGAGATTGGACTGCATGGCCTTACATTCCCGATGCTGTTTACCGGAACCTATCCCACATGCCCAGCTGGACCACTACCAAGAACTGCTGGCGGAAACTTGAGCTTACAGACATTTCGACCGACGAGCCGCCACCGCCCACTCCTTTGGCATACACAGAGGGCTGGACGGCGGAGGCAATCCTGCAGGACCACCTCCACCGACACCGACCAAACAACCCAGGTGCTTCAAACCTCCTCGGCTGCCTACGGCACCTATCGGCTTGTAGTCGGGCCACAAGCTGCCCATGGCAAGGGGTCCAGCCGGATGAGCGCGCCAAGACACCCAGCAAGCATAGCGACAGGAGACCGTAGCCCTGCAAAAAGAACAAACATTGCCATCAGCTGGTCTTCGGGGCGCGTGTGTCCCTTGCCAAGTATGCCAGGCAGTTTGCCCGCCTAGGTGAGCGTCTGAATGGGGAATAAAACACATTCGTGTCTACTTGCCAACTAACGAGCTGCATGTTTGGGCTGCGAACTGAACAGTTGACTAGGGTGTAACGGGTGGTGGAATTTAGAACAATTCTCTGCGACCACCTCTTCTACAATCCGATTCTCTGTTCACGAAGAATGAACACACAAGAAACGAGGGGGTGTACCCCAGCCTGCCAGGCCAAATTGATTCTGCTCGCTTCCCTGGCAACCCAAAATTGGCTTGATATCTCGCTGCCGCTTGAACAAGTTGTTTGTGATCCCATGGCACGTAGCGCAACATTGGAGATCTATGGAAGTGACACATTGGGAGATTGTCGGCTCCAGTGACAGGCAAGGAACGGTCAAATACCCTGTCTTGGCCTCCCCGGATGGGAGAGCTTGGTAGAAATATAAACTGGCCGGCACAAATATTGAATTGCTCTGTAACATGAAGACGAACCTGCTGAACTTGGGACAGAACTCAACACAACGTTAGCCTCTCAGTTTGCCTTGCCTGGGCAGCCGTAAGAAAATGAGAGAAGAGCGATGTCTAACCCCGACTGCCCTCCCTTTCGGGTGACTTAGGTAAATACAGGTCAGGTCATGCAATGCGGGTTGGCAGAACTTCGCAAGGTGGGGCCAACGCCCTTGAGCAAGCCCCGATGCTGGAAGTGGAAATCGTTAAAACCCAAAAAAAGATGCCAAACAAGGCACCAAGGATGCTGCTAAGCTCCAGCAAGTCCAACCCAAGCAAAGCAAGCTCCGACACTCGGACAACACTTCTGTTTTGGCTCTCGGCACACGCTTGTGCTCTCCAGGTTGAGCCAAAGGAAAACATGGTTCTGGCACTTTAAACACTTTCATGTCAAAGCTGCATCTGGCCAAAGACAAAGAAGCTCCACACACTCTCCACTAAAGACTCGACTTAAAAGACGTCCAAAACTACCCTCTAGTCACAAAACTCGACGAGAGCAGTTCTCTATGGGGCAGAACGTTCCTACGTCGCCAAGCACACTAAGGCTATACGGAAAACTGCAAGAGGCTGAGCAGACTCCAAACTATGCACACAAAACTACAAAACTCACCGTGTCGCACCCTCACAGGATGACCCACAGGTCTTGACTTCTACACCCTCGACACGGACACTATACAGCATGTAAGACCGAGCTTCCTGTGCAATGACCAGTACCAAGCCAGCCACGTAAAAAGCGGATCCCTTGCATGCAAATACAAGTAACCACCGGTACATGGAGCACAGGCCCAAAGATACAAAAAACCCCCCGCGAATGTGACGAGTGCAGATCAGCTGCAGCCTGCGAAGACGAACTTCGGCAGAGGCTTCTCTTCATATAATTCGAGGTTCGAGGAGAATCGAAGTGTGTGTTGCAGATCTCTTCACGAAGCCGTGGGTTGTCAAGTTCTGTGCACCTCTACAGTCGAGCATGTTGGTTGCATCGCGAGTTCGTGGGTTGGTGTGTTGACTGTCAGCGAGGCTGAGGATGGTGGAGATCCGGCCACTGCGAAGCAACTTCAAGGTCTCTAACTTGGCATGGCTATTATGGCAGGTTGCCACTGGCCGAAGCACCGACTTGGACATGTGCGAGACAAAGTGTCGAAACACTGAAAATGCCCAAAGATCATGCGAAGCGAAGCGTGAAGAGACGAGAAGAGAGTGTCCTGCTTTGAAGGAGACAAGTCAAGCTGTACAAACGAAGCCCCTCACGGTCAGAGTTGGGTGTCATACTCAACACCTCAGAATTGCAGCAGCGTACATGCAGGGGGCAGGAGGCCAGGGGCCCAGGGGGAGGGGGGGCCAGTCCTGAGCAAGAGCCTGGGTTCCCACCAAAAAAAGCCAACAAGGGGGGGAATAGTCGGCGTATCGGCGTCGGTGTTTTTATGGAAGAAAGCAAGGGGCCAAGAGCCTAAAAGGCAAATTGTCTGGGAGGAGGCGCAGAAACTGTCTGAAGAAGGCGTATCGGCGTCCACGGCTGGGGGCGACTTCCTCGGAAGGGGGGAATCGGCGTTTTTCCGGGAGGTGTCAGTGTTCGGCGTAGGGGCCAGCAAAGATCACTTTGCGTGGATAGGCACTTTTCTCACATGCTTGTCGAGAAATCCCGTCGCATCCTTAGAATTTGATTTTAATATGCTGGGTGCTTTGCCATCTCGATGCAATACGTGCCATCGCTGCTCACCAACACTGCCCGATAGTGCCCAGAATCACAAGTGTTTTCGGCAGCATATTTGCGATCAGAAATCCACATCACATCATTGTTGAGGAGATTGCAATCATAAGCGAAGCAAGGCAGATTGGTGGTGCACTCAAAATTACAGGTTTGTCGCCACTGACTTCCGGCTTGTTAGTGCTCTCACCACAGCGGTTGAAGCCGAAGAACTACAAATGGCGGGATCAACCATGCCTTTCTTCCTAGTCCCGTTGTCTATGCTTTGTCCTCTGCAACTGGTGGATGCAGGAAAAGTGGCCACAGCCTGCCACTGTCCGTGACATCAAGAGCTGTTGTTCGAAGGTCACGTGTGTGCGCTAGTCTGCACTTCCATATTCTGTGGCATCGTGTTGTTTGTTGGACTCGGTCCATCCTTTGCAGATGGTGCGCTAGGAGAGAGTGTCCCAAAGTTTGACGCTTGACTGTGAGGAGCTGGAGATTGACGAGAAGATCATCGCCAAGCTGTGTAACATGATTTCGACCACTCCAGCCTCACGAAACTTGGCCGAGAATGGCGAGGAGAAGGAGAAGGGTGATGTCTTCCGAACATTGTGGTCGGCTGGGGCGTTCGTGCGAGGAATCCTGGGCTGGAAGAAAAAACTTGGAAGTACCCCGACACGACGAGGGTGGTGAATCAGTTCATTGCCTCTGAGGACCCAACCTTCTTCCTCTTCAAGAACATCCTCACTGGTCGCCACAGCGACAGCCATGATGCCACGAAGCCATCGTTCCTTATCCCTCCATCAGCAGATTCGATGATTGAGGAAAGTGGGATTGAGGGAAGGATGGTGAAGAAGCCAGCTGAGTTTGCTGCAAAGATTTCGCAGCAATTGCTTTGTGACATCGCAGAAGCCAGAGCAACATAGCAGACATTTTGACTTGTTACCAAGTACCGACGGCCCTGCCGATGGGCGCATTGGCACATGGCCCCATCAAGACCGGAGCTTAACCAGCGAAAACTCGCCACAGGGTGGACTGCCATGGGCAAATTTGAAGACACCATTGTGAGCCAAGGCCATGATTCGATCAAATGTTTCATCGTGAAGAAGGTCCAAACCTTCTCCGAAAAGTGGATCAACCGCAAGGCAAGGGATACCCAAAGCACGTACCGCCGTGGAGCAAGGAGCCGAGGATCCACAGCAGAGGTCCAGGAAAAGCTTAGTATCTGATGTCAAAGGCACTGGCGATGGTATAGTTGCCACCACAGATTCGCTCGCAGCCCCAGGGAGAGGAAAAGATAGCGCCTGCAGCTGCAATAAATCTTCGGAAGAAGCAGATTGGAAGATTGTCGGGGTGTACGGGATCAGCACCCATCGATCTCCAACCCACTCAGAAGAACCATGAAGAAGACGTGGGTTAAAAGAAAACGGCTTTTCGTGAATGTTCACCAGGCCGCCGGAGCAATCCACGGACTGAGAAGATGGGGGAGGTGCAGGCTGATCCAATGCACTCTCCAACCAAAGAAGGCCACCCACATGTTGGCCCAGAGAAAGCGCATGGTTTTCAGAGCCGTACAAATTCCCTGAATCACTGCGCAGCTTTGCAAAAGAGTTATGTGAAACGCAAATCGAAGCCCAACTCTTCCCAGGGAAAGCTTGCCTCAAGCAAAGGTTGATGAAAGAAACAAGCTGTGGATAATCCCAAGTCAGATTGCAAATGCCGACCTGTGTCCCTGAGCGGTAGCCGAATCTTAATAAGCTGACGATTCTGTGGGCTGCACCGCATGACTGCGCCTCGAAAAGTTCAAATCGCCCAAAAATGCCACCAAGACTGAAAGTAATGCCGCAAAAGAAGTCGCTTGCACCAAGGAAATTGGCCAGCAGATCCTGAGGATTGCTGCGCGAAGGTATAGCAGCCCCTGCGAGAATGTCGCCTGTACACAAAAGGTTTGCTGACTTTGAAGGAGCTGAAGCCACATCACATGATAGTCAGTGTGGAGTTGCCCTGTGCTGAGTTGCACTGTGCTTCCCCCCGCAGGAGTGCCGTCCTGCTTGGCAACACAGCAAACATGCAGGAACTTGCAAGCGGACCCTGAAGGCAGATTGTACTGCACACAGATCTTGTGGACCTCGTTGTTGCGCGTGATCTCTGTTGTCCAGGGAGTGCGTTCCTTGCCTGAAAAAGCTACTCTTACCTTTAGGTTTGCTGGGAGGTTTGCCCTTGAACAAGCCCTTGCCCCGAGGAATCAAACTTGGGTATCCCGGGACGAGCTTGAAGCGAAGACAACTCGTTGCGGACCTCCACAACCTCAGAGATCGCGTCGTCGAGCTGCCAGCCATGCTCCAGCAAATCACCAATCACTTCCCAAGCTCGACGATCTGCATTCATCGCCTCCTGCGCATTGACTGAACGCAATCCGGAGCCATTCTCGAATCGCTGCAGGGCCAATTCAGGAACGCTTCTCATAAAGGCGAAGGGTACCAAATGCGCACCTTCCACCAGGGCCATGGCATTGAAGTGAATTGAGAGCACAGATCGAAGGATGCCTTCTGATGCTGTTGCCATGTGGAAGTTCACGGACAGGCGCTTCGTCCACGAAGAGGTTATCCAGCTTGGGCTGAGAAGCGTCAAGCTGGGCTTGGCTCATGCGCCAAGTCCGATCCACTGCCTCCTTGGGGCCAAGGCTCGGCACCGATTTACTGTCCAATATTTCGGAAGGGTAAGCCTTCTCGAAGCGATCCCGAAAGGAGCGTACACAGCGGCATCCCGCTTGCGCGCGAAAGTATCCGCCCATGTGTTTGTCGAAAAGTCGTGGCTGGTTGCGCTGCATTCACCGCAGAGTTTTCGGCTGGTACTTCAGGTGCAGAGCAGTGCTGCTAAGACTACGAATTTTGGCACGAACCACGAAATCATCTTCTCCACATAAACAACTCCAGAGAAGCGAGGAAGTGATTCAAGTCTGCAAGATCTGTCGCCACAAGCCCGAACAGCTTGGACGTAAAGTTGCCAAGCACAGCGTGGATCTCGATGGAACACCAAAAGAAACCAGACGAGCTGGCATTTCAGCCTCGACCACATCACTAAGAAAACCGATGAAAACCATCTGCAACGCTGAAAAGCATGAGCCCAGTGGCAAAAGCGTGTTTCTGGGACAAAACAAGGAAGCAATACGTGTCCCTGCAAGCGAATGCAACGCTTCTTGCCGACCCCTATATCTAAGCACCAGAAAGCTAAGATAGACATCTGCAGAACTCTCGCACAAATCCCTTTCTTTTTAACGAGTGGTTGCGGGCAGCACGAATCCGAAATCAAGATGAAAGCGAAAGAGGCAAGCTGAAGCTGAAGGTGTCGTGTGCAACCCCCGCCCCGCTCCAAGGGAAAAGAACCAGGAAAAACAACAGCTTCAAGCGACAGAATACAGAACCCAAGAGAGAGAGATACAGAACCCAAGAGAGAGAGCGAGGTGGGTGCTTTGAACTGGACACCAAGCGCATGACATGTTCGAGCTGGTGTGAAGAAACAGGAAGCTCAAATTCCACATGGTGCATGAAAAGGCATCGTGTAAAACAGCTGTGAGCAAACGCACGAACAGAAGCGATATCTTCTGCGCAGCACAACAACTTGTTCGAAGTGGATTCCGCCCCTGTGTTGTCGCACCAAGAAGGTACACAGATCTCGAGTCGTTCGCCAGAAAAGCATGAAGCCAAAATAAGAACAAGCCCCATTTGGGCTGCAGTCTCCCAGCAAGTAATGGCCTCTTGTGCAACTGACGGTTGATCAGTTCTGAAAAGAACGAAGGCTGAATGTCTTAGAGAACCAGAGATAACGACTAGAGCCAATCTCTAACTAACCACCATCCAGCAGAAAAGGAACCTTAAGATTGTTACTTCATGCCGGGTCCTGAAACCGATAGGCTTCAGGTTCGCGATTTCCCTTGCTGCTGCTCCCAAGTCCCAACAGCTGTTTTACACGACGCCTTTTGATGCACCATGTGGAATTTGAGCTTCCTATTTCTTCGCACCAGCTGCTCAAACATGCCATGCGCTTAGTATCCAGTTTAAAGGACCCACCTCTCCCTCCCACATGCGACGAGATTTAGGGTTCAGGGTCTTCAGTGTCCATGAGTATGCAATCTGAAGTGTAAGCAACCGTACACGACCCGTCACAGTGCTTAACAACGAACATCTAGAAGTCAAAAACAACACTCAAGCCCTGAGTCTCCTCCAAGAAGTAAAACACCTCGCGTGCATCTTGTGGACCCTGCCCAAACCCTTCCTAAACCCTTAACTCTAAACTAGCGAGAGCACCGCTGACCATATACATGCCCGAGTGGTCTGCCCGAGCGTCAGAACGAATCTACACGCCCAGGGGATTCTCCTCGCAACACCTCCGAAAAACAGTTGTGATTGCGAAAAGTTGTTTGCGGCTGCAAATGGAGCGTGCTCAAAAAAGCTCGAAAAGTGGACTTCGACAAGATCTTCGCGCGAAAAGTCGAAAATACACGAAACGTGGAAAAAGTTCCAAAAAGTCCCTTAACGCCCGACAAGTGACGAAAAATCGACAAGTCGAAATGCCGAAAAGTTCCGTAAAAGTCCAGAAAAGTCCTGATAATTCCGACAAGTCGCGAAATATCGAACAGTCGAAAGGCGCAAAGGTCGGTAAAGCCCAGAAAAGTTAAGAACTTGCGCCCGAAAAGTCGAAACGCGAACAGTCGGAAGTCCAGCATTCGCCTTTTTATGTGTGGGGGGGAACAGCATGCTGCGACTTGTGGTTAGGGATATAAGAAGAGACTTTGTCTGGTTTAAAGTTGAGGACGGGGGGTTTAAAGTGTCAGGTCTAAGAGCTTTAAGGTTGAAAGCAAAAAGAAGAAATTGCTTGGCTGCAATAACTTCCTGGGATGTGTCACTTTTTTCTCGAGTGTGAGGTTTTCGCTTAGTGGTGCGTGCGTGAGTCCGTTCTTGGTCTAATTATCCGCCCTGATTCACTTGCAAAAATTAAGTAACGTTCGTAAGGGATAACATTGGCAAAATGAGATTGCACATAAGATCCACGCGGTGAAGCCTAGAATGGCTTTTAAATCTGGAGCTGCTCAAGATTTACTACAGGATTGGATTAAGACAGTTTAGGATGCGTGTTTGTGTCGAGGCTCACACGCACAGAGACGTGCATGAACAAACACAGCGAATCTCTCGCTGCATCGTCCAAGACCAACCGTTGGAACAATGCCCCTTTGCCCACGACGAATGTCAGCCATGATTGAACGGCCCGACTTTCCAAGGATGTATGAATCGGTGTAATGGAGCCGACCCATGAGACTGAGACAACGCTTTGAAGAGATCGCGAGGGAGAAACTCTTCAAGTGACACCACAAGCTCCTCGGCACAACCAGACTTGTTCCGTACAAGCACCAAACCCTCATCACACCTTGAACAAAACCTCAACCCCCAACATGGCGGCAGCAGGCTGAAAGGAGCGAAGCTTGTTGTCTGCGAACGCCGAGGAGGGCACACAAGGCAGTCATTGTCCTTATGGCTTTGTCGGAAATGGCACTTGGCGACATAGCACTGGCTGACACCATGGAGTGCCCTGAGCTGGTCTTGCATCCGCTGTTCTTGTCAAGTTTTCACTGGCTAACCACCATGGGCGCGCGCTGGCCTTTCCTCTTGCTGCGGGCCAGATAAAGGGTTTGACTGCTGTCTAGTAGTCTTTCCCCTTGAAAATCGGTAGCTGTTGCTACTTGCAGGCTTCCTCCCTGGAAAACTGGAAGGGCTCTGCTGACTGGAAGTTGAAGCACTCTACTTGGAACACAAGAACAAACGAGAACACAAGAAAAAGAGAGAACACAAGAGCAAGAGAACACAAGAGCGAGAGTGAACACGTAGCTTGAGCTTACAAAATTAGGTCCTCTGTTCGAAAGTTCAGCCCTTACCATCAGCAGCAAAACTGCAGTACCGTGAAAAAGGGCCCCGAGACAGTATAGTAGAGTGCTTAACCTGAACACAAACCCCACTTACTGTCTAGATCACAAAATTCCACGCAAGCAAAGCTGCAACTAGGAAAGCAACCGCGTGGAACAGGCAGCTGCGGTTGGTCCTCAAGTTGAAACAAAGTCTGCGCAAGTAGACACTCTGGCGGGGCGGGAAGTCTATGGTTTGCGGGATCCTTTCATGGTAGCCACTACAATGCTGAGACTTGGCTCATTCTTTGCTTTACAGAACCGCCCGTGCAAACACCTGTAAACTAGACAGCAAATTGCAGAAGAGTGTCAAACCTTGCAAGCTTCTCCACAAGAGAAAATCGAACGCGACCAAGCCTTAAACACTTTACAAACCTTTTAAATCCCATATCACCCGTCAAATTATTTTCTCCTGTTAAAGTTAAACCCAAAACCCTAAACGCCTAAAGCCATCTTGAGTCCCTTTGATAACATTTTGGGGTCTATAATTCAAAGGCTCGGAATGTCGACCGCGCACATGGCAGTCGAAGGTGCAGTCGCTTCCAGAACTCTGCCAAAACTCAGGACATGAACTCTACCTTAGCGTTTTAAGAGTTAAGGGCTGATGGATATTAAGAAGCGCCAACAGATTGGCAAAGAGGCCAGTTGAGCAGGGTTTCGATGATCGCGACAGCTGAATGACAGGCTTCACACAACTCGAAGCCATGTTGGCTTAAAAACATATTCATACATATTCACAGAGGTTTTCTTTCAGCATATTCTTCTGCTCTGAAAGATCTCTTCAGGTTGGAGTTTAGTAGGCAACTTCCAAGAAGTTTACAGCAAGATGCGTAAGTTTCTGGCATTTCGGTGTTCGGGTTTTTGGTGCTAGGCGCTCCATCAGTTCCACTAAAGGCAGCAAGGGCACCAAGAGCTGGCGGGACCGGGGCAGGGCATAACGTCACCGCCAGGCAGCTCGCTAAAGGCCATCAAGCACGTATCAAAGCAGGGACGCTTGTTCCCTTCTCTCTTCTGTGTTTTTCTTCTCTCTTCGTGTTCTTGTGTTCTCTCTTTTTCGTTTCTTGCGTTCTTTCTCTTGTGTTCTTGTGTTCACTCTCGCTTTACTACGCTTCGGCAAGAGCGGCTAGGTCCTTGCCAGGGACTTATGGCTGTTGATCTAGAGAATCTAGAGTATCGTCCGCAAGACGGCCATAATGGAAAAAATGAAAAATCTTCTTCTGTATTTTTCCATACACAGTAATGTTAACTTCGCATTAATAAACCCCCCCACCTTCATTGATCAATCTCTCCGGCTAGAGCCTTCTTAATAATGTTCGCCTAAATCCTGGTAGAACGTACTATTAGTTTTAGTTTTTTAGGCAGCAGCACTACGCCCGTAAAAACCGGATTTCCCGGGTCGGATTTTACAATTGTGGCGGGTTACAATGTTCCGGCAGCGGGATTTTACAATTTCCGCCATGTGAAGTCAACATTAAGCTTAAGCAAGTTTTCCAAAAACTGTCTAGATCAATCCCCATATGCAGCAAACCGAAGAAGGGAGCTAGTGCATGGCAGAGTGCCTGCGCTTTCCCGTACTTACAACCCCTTATACACTGCAGTAATCTGAAGAATGGACAAGATATCCGCCCCACAATAATCACATTTTGTTTTCGGGGTTAAGAGTCAAAAGGTTTCAAGCCTCAAGGCCCCTTGGGCTTCAGGAATCTTAGATTCCCAATCCAGGAAGCTAATGGATTGATATTCTACCATACAACTCAGGCAACATATGGGTGGCAACATTTGGGTGGCAACATTTGGCGGGCGCGGCTTTCGGTGGCAACATTTAAATACCACCGAAGCCGCGCCAAATGTTGCCTTGCAATTGCCACCGAAGTCGTGCCAAATGTTGCCACCCAAATGTTGCCACCAAAGCCGCGCCAAATGTTGCCACGCAAATATTGCCACCGAAGCCGCGCCAAATGTTGCCACCCAAAATGTTTGCCACCCAATGTTGCCACCGAAGCCGCGCCAAATGTGCCACCCAAATGTTGCCACCCAGTTGCCACCCATATTGCAATGCTTCCGGCACATGCATTGCGCTCAATCATTTCTTGCGTGATCGCATCCCAGATGGAAAATGGACCTTCCTAGCGGTGATTCTGAACCCGCGCATCCGGCTCCACCGCGACATGGGGAACATGATTGGCATGCCAAATTATGCGATCGCACTCGGATGCTTTGAGGAAGGCGGAAGTGTGGGTCGAAGACACGAAGGCACATCGCCAGACAAGTTGGTGATGAAAAACAAATTCATCCGCTTCGAGGCTCGTGGATCGACCAGTGTGCTTCAACACCCGTCGATTTCACAAGGTCGAGCCGCACAAAGGGCATATGGGGCAATTGCAGCGCACGCCCTGCTTTTAAGCGCTGCTCCAATGACAACCGTGAAGAATTGGGATTTTCTGTGTCTTAACAAACCGCAGAAATGCCAAGCAGCACTGCGACGTTACTTAAGAACGAATGTTGCCACCGCGCGCCGGGTGGCAACATTTGGGTGGCAACATTTGGGTGGCAACCTTTGACGCGGCTTGGTGGCAACAATCCAGCACGCACCAGATTTCCCTTGGAAGGATCTTGCGTAACGGCTTCGCAGCTGACAGCCCGGAGCTCATTGAATCATGCGTAAAAAAGAGCCTCATGGCGGGGCAATGGGCCCCGTGCCTGACAGCCAATGCACAGGCGGGCGGTTCTCGCCTTAGGCTCTGCGCTTCCACGCGGCACGGGCAAGACGTGCTTCAGCAGCGTCTCGCTTCCATGTCGGTGGCCCGCGCCACCATGGAGTCAACAGAGCCCAGATCCTTGGCGGCCCCGTACTGGGGCTGGAAGCTTCTTGCCGCATTGAATCCAAACGCTCAAAAGGGACCTGACGGGCAGGCAGCCGGGACACCTGCTCCACGCAGCGCCCAGCAGCCGGCCACCACGTTCCGCGTGTGTCAAGACAATGCGCAGAAGTTCAAGCACAACGACGCCCTGACCAGAAGCTGGCAGCGACGACTGCAGGAGACCTTCCGAGCCCCGACTCGGTCTATACCGCCGTGGCGTTGCGGTTCTCGGGCCGCTGTCGTCACCACATGGTTGCCTTCCACCAGCTCGGAGATGATCTCGGCTGCAGCCTAGGTCACGGTTTCTGCTCGCTTGTCAGGCAGGACCTTGGTGGCCACCTCGCGAAAACACGTCGGTCACCACCAGCCCATACCGATTCCGGCTCCGTGTTTTGGCTGAAGTCCACGAGGTCCGCTTGCAGCCGGTCGTTGGGACCCTTGGCCGCGCTCTTGCCCAGGCTGCGGAGCTTGGGCCAGCACCTGCCGGGCCACATCCGTGCGCAACGCCGCCCGTGCGGCCGAGGTTCCGACGCTCCGGGTGGTGCGAGTGGACACGGAGTTCTACATCGACGACGCCACGGGCAGGGCCACGGGGCTGGTGACCAATGCCATCTCCACGCGGGTCCAGGACACGGAGCTCACCATTCCCGGAGACTCCTTGTCCTGCCAGGATGTGCCGGTTTTCTTTGCTGCCAAGCATAGCAAGCATGCTGTGCAAACGTGGGTTGGCACTCGCACGGTTTCGGTAGCCTATACCGTCCGCAGCTTGTTGACACTCTCATCGGCTGACCGTGCTTGTTTGCAGCGGCAAGGCTTCCGTTTGCCTTGCTCGGAGTCCCCCGACCAGGTCGACTTGTTCGATCAGCGGCCGTGCCGGGGGCCAGCTTGTTTTGTTGAGATCTTCAGTGGGTCTGCAGCTCTTTCCCGAGCTTGTGCTGATTTGGGGTTCGAGGTCATTGCAATTGATCATAAACCTCGTAAGTCCTTTGTCCCCGCGGTCCATCTTGATCTAACCCAACCTGCGTGCCAGTCCGCGTGCTTTGTGTTGCTCGAGTCCAAGAAGCCTTGTTCGGTTCACCTTGCCCCGCCGTGTGGGATGTGCTCCCGTCAGCTCCTGGGCTCGAACGTTTTTGTTGTGTTTTGAGGGGGGTAGGGTAGACTTTTGGGCCTTTTGGCCAGCCCTTGCCGCCATGGTTTCTTTCCGGATGGCTTTTCTCATGATGGTTTTCATGGTGGCTGTGGGTGCGCCGAGTGCCGAGCCGGCCAATGGCACCGGTGCAGCAGATGCAATGGCCGATGACAGGCCTGTGGTCAGCAAGGTGATTGCAGTGGGGCTCTCCTCCATGTTGGATGGCCTGGGAGACTCATTGCCTGACGCCCAAGCACTGGATGAGGCGGCAGACTTGCTGGAGTCCGAATCGATTGCGGAGAATGTGGCGTTTCCTTCGCTCATGGAGGAAGTGTTGCTGGTTCTCGGACATCATGCTTATCCTCTGCCCGTCCTCCAGGAGCTGCAACGACACTGGACCCAGATTGCGCAGATGATTGCGGCGAAGGCGGCAGGCTCCGCTGGGGGGTCTGCTGTAGGCAGGGCTCCGAAGCAGCTGCCCAGGCCTCGGCACAAACGTGGAGTGCCATCCGGTGAGGAAGGCTCTACGTCCGGGGCAGCCTCGTCAAGAGATCCCATGGGGATGACACCGGCCAGGGGTGCTGCGCCTGCTTCGCGAGCGCCAAGTACCTCGGCTCGGTCACGATCGCCAGCCGGTTCCTATCGACCTCCAGCAGCCAAAGGACCGCCGCCACCGAGACCGATGGGCATTGGGTCGCCTGGTGGACCGCCCCCGCCGACGCCGGTGGGGCCCGCAACAGCGGGCCTGGGGCTTGGTATTCCGCCGAGGCCCTTCCGCGCTGCGGAGGCCAATTCGCCGTGTCCGGCTCGAGTACATGTCCCGCTGGTTCAAATCCCGGGGGATGCCGGTGCACTGATGGCTCCGCTGGTCTGGCCGCAAGCTGCTGCTGCGGACGTCCGGTGCCTGACATCGGAGGAGCTCATTTGGGAGTTGGCCTCGAGGATTGGCATGTGTGGGCTGACACCGATGTGGGCCCAAAGTGGAGGCCGAAAGCCAAGGCATCCACCCGGCAGATGTGGCGCGACGTGTGGTCGGCATGCTACGTGGCAGAGATGCGGTGCCACAACAACTGCCGTTCGCGGCCGAGGTGGCCCGAGAAATGCTCAGGCCCTATCACTTGCAGCTGTGTGTGCTTGGGAAAATAGTTGGCCGCTTGTCTCCTGGTCAGGTATGGCTGAAGATCCCGACGGCATCTGACCCGGGAGCTGCGCACGAGGGGGAAGGACCCCAGATCTGGCACTTTTTCAGCTGGACAAATGCTTTTGCAGTGCCACCATGGACAGTGTACACAACATGTGGTTGCAGCTGGTCACATGATGAGTCTTGGCCTTTCAGTTTTGTTGGGCTCAGCTTGCTGGGGGATTCCGCCACGACGGGGGCGCGATTCATCAGGCTGGCTTCGCTGCAGATGGTGCTTCTTACTCAGTGCAACCAGTTCTGGACAGGTGCCAATATGCACATGGAACTTGGACTACGACCTCCGACTATTAGGTCGGTCACCTGGTTGGTTTTTCTTGTGGAGACGTTCCCATGTGAAGTGGGGGACGGTTCGCATGTGGGTGGGATGCTACAGGCGACGACGCCTACGCCATATGACCAGGGTGCGGCTAGTTAGTCCGGAACGTCGTGAGACACAGACACCGAGCAAATATCCCTTCGTGTGGTCTTGTCAGCTGCTTGTCATGTTGATGTGGCATTTCAGTACTTGGTGGATCGACTGTTGGCGCAGCCTGTTCCTTATCGTGTCTTTCTATTCCGAGACTGTACTCCATATGCCGACGTCCTCCAGGCACGAACAGCAGTCACTATCTTTGTTCGATCTGCATTCACACTGTGCTGTCCTACCTCCTGGACGTATACAAAGTTCGAGTCATGTCGGTCCCAAGTCCGACATGGGTCCCTGTCCAGCTATGGGTCGAGGACCACTTCGGTGGTTTCTGTGGCTCTTTCTTTGGTGGTGGATTGTGGTGGGGGCCCAAGGAGCGAGGGTGGTCGGATCTTCCGTCGATCCGGCGGGAGCAAGTTCACTTGCTGTGACAGGCTCCGAGATGGTTGCAAAGCCAGACGGAAAGCATGTTACGAAGTCAGTGGCCCAGAAGCGTGCTTATCGTCGTGCATGTCTTCGGGCGACACGAGCTGGTCCCAATGGGGCCACATGGTATCGAGGCAAATGGATGACTGCCAGAGCCTTGCAGGCTCAGAAAATTTCTTCAGCCGGGGTGTCTCTCTCTTGCCAAATGAGCAGAAAGCCAAGCAAGGTTCCGCAGCTTCAGCTTCCGAGGTGGCCGCCTCAGCAGGGCGACGAATGTCTTCATGAAGCGATACCTCCCAGACGAGCTGGTTCGGTCAATATCCTGAGTGTTAATCTGGGGGGCATTACGCTGGAACTATACGATGAATTCTGCCGATGGTTGGAGACAGAGACCACCATAGCCAATATAGACATCATCTGCGTGCAGGAAACTTGGAGGCTCACGAGCGATTACGTTCTTCCGCACTGGTCGTGGCTTAGCTCGGGGGCGGAGCCGGTATCAGGACAGGGAGTTGCTGTCCTTGTGAATACAGCATATGCGGACACGGCAGTCCTGAGAACCAGAGAAATTCGAGTTGGCCGCATTCTTCAGGTTCAAATGCCCGTCAAGGATGACAAGCAAGGACGCCTACTCAATGTCGTGTGTGTCTATGTACCTTCTAAGGTTTCTGAATCACAGTATGTCTATGAGAAACGTGCTGCTGTTTGGACAGCGCTGGATAAGTTTCTGACGTCAGTACCGGCCCGTCATTTCTTATGCGTTGCTGGCGATTTCAACACGGACCTCCAGCAGGATGCGCCCTTTGTGGGTTGTACATTTCAATGGAAAGGGCACTCCCGTGCCCCGGCCAGGGACCAATCCACTTTCCAAAATCTGTTGCGTGCCCACTCCTTGCATGCTATGAATACCTGGAAACATGAGGCGACGTATCTTGACCACCAAGGAAGCAGATCACGTGTCGACTACATCCTGACGCGATCCAACACGGCCAAAGGACACAAATCTGAGACGATGCCTCAACTACACTTTGCTTCGTGGCGGGAGGGTAGCAGACACCTTGCCCTGATTGGGAGGATTGACCTCACCTCATGGCGGAACCTCCGCTCCCGTGAGGTAGCAACTTTCAATACGACAAGTTTGCCTTGGTGCGTGCCTGTCAACCGGGGCCTGAGCAAGATCGGCTGAAACAGGCGCTGGTGCCTCACCTACCGCTGCTTTATTCTGGGCCCCCGCCCAGTCGAGTGGAGGCACTGCTCCGTCAACTGTGTGCTGAAACCTTTCCGGCCAAGCAAGCGACCTCCAGCCTACAATGGCAAAATCCGGAGGTGCAGCAGGATTTGGAGCGGACATGGACGATCAGGCGGGCGATTGATGCAACACGCATTGCACCCTTGCCGCTACTGCGCAAGGCGTTTCAAATATGGAGACTCAAGAAGCAACTACGTCTGCAGGTGAAGGAGCTCAAAAAGGCCAGTCGGCAGAGACGGCGAAAGCACTGGACTCAACAGCTGGAGGAGGCCGAGAAGGCGCGGGATGCCAAGGATGCTTATCGCTTCTTCCGTGTCGTTACGACTTTGGCCCCTCGGAGGCCTATGGAGCGGGTTCAATTGCGTGATGAGCAGGGATGCATCATGACGCCTGAGCAGGAGGACAAGGCCTTGGCGGCCTACTGGAACACCATCTACGGTAGGCCCACCGTGAAGCAGCAAGCCTGGACTCCACAAGAGGGAATTGCCATTCGTCAGGAGGAACTCTACCAGGCTCTTCGACAGTTGAAAGCTCGCAAAGCGGTCTCGCCGGGGCTTGCTCCGGCAGCGGCCTGGAAGGCGTTGGCGGCGGAAATGTCAGAGTATTTAACCGGATTTGTGCTGCAGCGCTGGCAGCAGGGACCGCTCCTCTTGCCAACCTCCTGGACCACTACGTCGTTGATTTTCTTGCCCAAGGCTGGAAAGACCATAAAACAGCCCAAGGACTTGCGTCCCATTGCTCTACAGTCGGCGGCGTCCAAGCCAATCACGACCGTTATGAAGTGGCGGATTACACCATCCTTCCTGGAGGCCATGCGTGCACTTCCTCAGTATGCCTACGTTCGAGGGCGCAGTACGGTGGAGGCGATAGCGAGGGTGGCTGCACATTGCTCCTCTGTCAGACGTTTGGTCAGGCAGCAGTCCATGACAATTCACGACAAGTTTGCGGGGGCAGTTTCTCAGGACTGTGTGGGAGGGGCCCAGCTGAGCATTGATTTATCGAAGGCCTTCGATTTGTTGCCTCGTAGTGTGTTACAGGAAATTCTGTCCACCACCGATCTCACAGCTGACGAGCAGGCGCTGATCATGCAGTGGCATCAACAGGGTCGATATCGCATTCGGAGTCGCGGCAGTCCGGAGGCCCAACACATTGACCTTCAGTGTGGTGTTCGTCAAGGGGATGTGCTGTCGCCGTATCTCTGGGGGTTGTTTACCGCTTACTTGGCGAAGGCCTTGGATGCTGAGAATGGAAGTGGCTGGACTGCCAGCAATGGCACCTTGTACGCAGATGACATGCACTACAAATGGGAGTTTTCTAAAGTTGAACATATGCAAAAGATGAGACAGGATGTTCAAAATATCTTTGCTGTTCTCCGACGACTGGGTATGCAGGCCAACCCAGAGAAAAGTGCATTTCTCATCACTGTGCGGGGCACGCAGGCGAAAAAGTGGGTTCGTCGCTTCGTTCGGAAAGACAAGCACCAAGTGCGCCACTTTCACTTTGGAGGTGGCACAGATGACAGGGTGCCGGTTGCTGAGTCCTTTGCCTATCTTGGGGCGGTCCTGTCTTACAACAACTTTGAGCTGGAGACCCTGAAGCACAGGCTGGGGGTGGCGGCAGGCCACCACGACAGGCCCTGCGTGCCAAGCGGGTTCTCAGTACCAACGTGCGATATCGTCTGTGGCAGGTCATGGTACAGACAGCGCAGTTGTACGCCTTGGAGGCAGTCGGGGTCACATCGGAAGGCGCCAAGATGTTGCATGTGCAAACCCTGAGACATCTACGTGGAATCTTCGGCTCGGCTAGACATGTGGATGGGCTCTCAGATCATGCGTTTCTCAGCAAGTATGATTTGCCGGACAGTATGCATATGGTTCGAAGGCGAAGTGGCACTCTTCCATCTTGGCGTTTGCTACAGCGATTGAGACGGCTCTACCTGAGGCGTATGTGGCCAAGTCCAGAGCGGAGCCCTCTAAGGATGTGGCGATGGCCTTTGCTTGTAGCCAGTGTGATCTTCGCTTCGGAACGCTACATGACTTGAAGACGCATGAGGGAAAGGCGCATGGAATCATCAAGGCCCGAGTTGATGTGACCAAAAACGAGCACGGCATCAACGGCATGCCAATCTGTCGACATTGTGGGGAAAAGTTTTCTAAGTGGAACATTCTTTCCAGACATGTGGCCAGGCAAGGCTGTCCGGCTCTTCAACAAGGACAGGTGGATGCTGCGGTGAAGGCGATGCTCATCACTGAACAAAGGCCTGCTTTGGAGCGTCCGGAAGTTGTCAGTTGCATACAGCAAAAGGGTTGGGCTGGTCTCCTGCAAGACAAAGCTTTGTGTGCTGAGCTCAAGCAGCGCTGTGCAGTGTGTTACCAATGGATCGTGGCAACGAATGGAATTCGCTCACATATTCGCAAAGAGCATGGCACTTCATTTCTGCAACATGAGGCTACTATCAAACAACATCAAAAACTGTGGAGACAAGCCATACAGTCCCCGTGCCAAGTGTGTGGCGCAGCGGTTGTTGACCGGCCTCAACATGCAGGCTCCTGTTCCGTTCTGCTTCAGCTGATGTACATGTCACTACTCCTTGTGGGACATTGCAAAGAGGGATCACCCTTGGCAGTGACAGGATCCGGTGAAGCAGGAGATGGAACTCTTCGGCAGTCTTCTGCCAGCCTTCGGGGGAAAGCCGGCAGAGGTGGTGGAGGGACAGTCCAGCGCAGCGGCCAGGCCCAAAAGACGACGAACGCAGGACGAAAGCTCCAACTCGAGCAAGGGAAAGGGTGGTGGGAAAGGTGGAGGAAAAGGGAAGAAGAAGGACGGCAAGGATCTGCAGCTCAAGGAGGTGGTAGCCATTCTGTCCTCTCTGACTCTACAGCATGTCGACCAGGTGAGCCGCATCCAGCTGGACACAGGCTTTCTGATGACGATGAAGAACACCGATCAGCCGGAATGCATGCTCCCGGTGATGTTCAAAATCAGTGCGGAGTGGAAGCGCATCAAAGCCGAGGAACCACAGAAGCTGGACAAGCCGCTCCGAGTCACGATGATGGTATGCTTGCTCAACGAGCTCAAGGCCAGGGCCCTCAAGGCCAAGGACAGTGCGGAGGCACAAAGCAAGCTGCGTGAGCTGAAGTGGTTGAACGACCGGGGGGAATGGGTCTACATGGTCTGGAACCCGCAAACGGAGAGCCTGGAGCTGGACGAGACCCGACCTGCCGTGCCCCAGGAAGTCTTCATCAATCAGGTGACGGAGACCATCTCGATGATCGCGCACCCGGGGGCCTTGACGCGCTTTCAGAACGTAAGACCGCTGACGGAGGACATGTCCGGCCACAGTGTGGCGTTTCTGATCGACGTGAGCCTGCGGGAGGAAGGCACGCCTCTACATCGGATGCTCACCTCATGGGTGGACCTGCAGGCGTGGGGTCTGGCGGCCACCAGACTACGCCAGCAACGTCTTCGGCGACCACCGGCGGCGGAGAAGCTATCGGCCTGGCTATCCTCAAATTGAGGTTCCGCAATCCCAACCAGCAGTGTTATTTCAACTCGGCGGTTTATGCGTGTCTGTACTGGCTCAGATCCAAACTGGCACAGGTGGGCACCAACAAGCTTCTACAGGGGCTGAAGAAACTTCAAGGCTTGGATTTCATGGTGGCTGTGGGCGCGCCGGGTGCCGAGCCGGCCAATGGCACCGGTGCAGCAGATGCAATGGCCGATGACAGGCCTGTGGTCAGTGACCTTGCTGAGGCGATTGCAGTGGGGCTCTCCTCCATGTTGGATGGCCTGGGAGACTCATTGCCTGACGCCCAAGCACTGGATGAGGCGGCAGACTTGCTGGAGTCCGCATCGATTGCGGAGAATGTGGCGTTTCCTTCGCTCATGGAGGAAGTGTTGCTGGTTCTCGGACATCATGCTTATCCACTGCCCGTCCTCCAGGAGCTGCAACGACACTGGACCCAGATTGCGCAGATGATTGCGGCGAAGGCGGCAGGCTCCGCTGGGGGGTCTGCTGTAGGCAGGGCTCCGAAGAAGCAGCTGCCCAGGCCTCGGCACAAACGTGGAGTGCCATCCGGTGAGGAAGGCTCTACGTCCGGGGCAGGGGTGCTGCGCCTGGTTTGTGAGCGCCAAGTACCTCGGCTCGGTCACGATCGGCAGCCAAAGGACCGCCGCCACCGAGACCGATGGGCATTGGGTCGCCTGGTGGACCGCCCCCGCCGACGCCGGTGGGGCCAGCAACAGCGGGCCTGGGGCTTGGTATTCCGCCGAGGCCCTTCCGCGCTGCGGAGGCCAATTCGCCGTGTCCGGCTCGAGTACATGTCCCGCTGGTTCAAATCCCGGGGTATGCCGGTGCACTGATGGCTCCGCTGGTCTGGCCGCAAGCTGCTGCTACGGACGTCCGGTGCCTGACATCGGAGGAGCTCATTTGGGAGTTGGCCTCGAGGATTGGCGTGTGTGGGCTGACACCGATGTGGGCCCAAAGTGGGGCATTGCAGGATCGATTGCGGGCCCTCATGGACCAGGCCGAAAGCCGAGGCATCCACCCGGCAGATGTGGCGCGACGTGTGGTCGGCATGCTACGTGGCAGAGATGCGGTGCCACAACAACTGCCGTTCGCGGCCGAGGTGGCCCGAGAAATGCTCAGGCCCTTTCACTTGCAGCTGTGTGTGCTTGGGGAAATGGTTGGCCGCTTGTCTCCTGGTCAGGTATGGCTGAAGATCCCGACGGCATCTGACCCGGGAGCTGCGCACGAGGGGGAAGGACCCCAGATCTGGCACTTTTTCAGCTGGACAAATGCTTTTGCAGTGCCAACATGGACAGTGTACACAACATGTGGTTGCAGCTGGTCACATGATGAGTCTTGGCCTTTCAGTTTTGTTGGGCTCAGCTTGCTGGGGGATTCCGCCACGACGGGGGCGCGATTCATCAGGCTGGCTTCGCTGCAGATGGTGCTTCTTACTCAGTGGAACCAGTTCTGGACAGGTACCAATATGCACATGGAACTTGGACTACGACCTCCGACTATTAGGTCGGTCACCTGGTTGGTTTTTCGCTGGCTGATGGGTCATACAAGCCTTGTGTGTCTCGCAGGCGATTGCGCTTTCCTACGGGTATTCTGGGCAACGTTATGTCCGGGGACACTCGAGGCCTGTGTACAGTCCTTGGCTGTGAGGGCGCTTCCCATGGTATGCCGACATCCTGGGATCAGGATTGGCTCGCGAACATGCCCGCCGATTTGCTGCGGCCTTGGGGTCCTGCTTTGCAGTGGTGGCCACATGGTGTGCCCAATCAGGTGGATGCTGCAAGCAGCAACTACTGTTGGAATCAGGTGCCTCCCTTCTTGTCTGGATATGGCTTTGTCTCCTGGGAATGCTGCAGGTGTGGCGAACCCTCTCGAGTGCAACTGGGCTCTGGGCTTGGCGGTTTCGATTGGAGTATGCGGACTACCATGAATTCTTGGTGCAGGCTACTGAATGGACAGTACACCAGCAAGCCACGGGCTGGATCCTTACTCATTGGTTGGTCACTTGGTCATATATGCCCCCACGATCCCACGAGTCGGGGCTGCTGCAGGTTACAAGGACCGCAACAAGATACCCCTCTTCAAGGGCGACTTGCATGCCTTGGATTAGGCCTGGTGGGATGTGGCTTGTGTTTAAACTTCCTCACCTATGTCTGGGGCCTTCTCTTCGCCTTGTGGAGACGTTCCCATGTGAAGTGGGGGACGGTTCGCATGTGGGTGGGATGCTACAGGCGACGACGCCTACGCCATATGACCAGGGTGCGGCTAGTTAGTCCGGAAAGTCGTGAGACACAGACACCGAGCAAATATCCCTTCGTGTGGTCTTGTCAGCTGCTTGTCATGTTGATGTGGCATTTCAGTACTTGGTGGATCGACTGTTGGCGCAGCCTTTTCCTTATCGTGTCTTTCTATTCCGAGACTGTACTCCATATGCCGACGTCCTCCAGGCACGAACAGCAGTCACTATCTTTGTTCGATCTGCATTCACCCTGTGCTGTCCTACCTCCTGGACGTATACAAAGTTCGAGTCATGTCGGTCCCAAGTCCGACATGGGTCCCTGTCCAGCTATGGGTCGAGGACCACTTCGGTGGTTTCTGTGGCTCTTTCTTTGGTGGTGGATTGTGGTGGGGGCCCAAGGAGCGAGGGTGGTCGGATCTTCCGTCGATCCGGCGGGAGCAAGTTCACTTGCTGTGACAGGCTCCGAGATGGTTGCAAAGCCAGACGGAAAGCATGTTACGAAGTCAGTGGCCCAGAAGCGTGCTTATCGTCGTGCATGTCTTCGGGCGACACGAGCTGGTCCCAATGGGGCCACATGGTATCGAGGCAAATGGATGACTGCCAGAGCCTTGCAGGCTCAGAAAATTCCTTCAGCCGGGGTGTCTCTCTCTTGCCAAATGAGCAGAAGGCCAAGCAAGGTTCCGCAGCTTCAGCTTCCGAGGTGGCCGCCTCAGAAGGGCGACGAATGTCTTCATGAAGCGATACCTCCCAGACGAGCTGGCTCGGTCAATATCCTGAGTGTTAATCTGGGGGGCATTACGCTGGAACTATACGATGAATTCTGCCGATGGTTGGAGACAGAGACCACCATAGCCAATATAGACATCATCTGCGTGCAGGAAACTTGGAGGCTCACGAGCGATTACGTTCTTCCGCACTGGTCGTGGCTTAGCTCGGGGGCGGAGCCTGTATCAGGACAGGGAGTTGCTGTCCTTGTGAATACAGCATATGCGGACACGGCAGTCCTGAGAACCAGAGAAATTCGAGTTGGCCGCATTCTTCAGGTTCAAATGCCCGTCAAAGATGACAAGCAAGGACGCCTACTCAATGTCGTGTGTGTCTATGTACCTTCTAAGGTTTCTGAATCACAGTATGTCTATGAGAAACGTGCTGCTGTTTGGACAGCGCTGGATAAGTTTCTGACGTCAGTACTGGCCCGTCATTTCTTATGCGTTGCTGGCGATTTCAACACGGACCTCCAGCAGGATGCGCCCTTTGTGGGTTGTACATTTCAATGGAAAGGGCACTCCCGTGCCCCGGCCAGGGACCAATCCACTTTCCAAAATCTGTTGCGTGCCCACTCCTTGCATGCTATGAATACCTGGAAACATGAGGCGACGTATCTTGACCACCAAGGAAGCAGATCACGTGTCGACTACATCCTGACGCGATCCAACACGGCCAAAGGACACAAATCTGAGACGATGCCTCAGCTACACTTTGCTTCGTGGCGGGAGGGTAGCAGACACCTTGCCCTGATTGGGAGGATTGACCTCACCTCATGGCGGAACCTCCGCTCCCGTGAGGTCAGCAACTTTCAATATGACAAGTTTGCCTTGGTGCGTGCCTGTCAACCCCGCCACGTGGGCTTCAGGTAGTCGATGATCTCGAATGTCTTGAGCACCAGGGCGTCCCCCACTGGCAGGTTGCGGGGGCGCTTCTTGAGGGCGATGCTGAACTCGGTGCAGCAGGGCGAGGCCCAGACCATGTCGAAGTGCCCCGGCTCGAAGGCCTTGTGGTCCCACTGCAGGATGTCGGAGCAGATGGTTGGATTGGCTTTTGGGTTGCTGTCAAGACTCGTTGCCTGCCAGCCACGGGCCTCGAAGGCACGGCCGACCGACCCCGTGCCGCTGAACAGCTCCAGGAGCCTCATTTGATGAAGGGAAAGAAAATGCCCACAGCACCAGCAGGCAGGCCAGCAGGGCCAGGTTGACTCCCACGCACTCCGCCGTGGACGCCGCGCGTTTAGCGGGCGGCATTGTATTTGTTTGGGGGAAGAAAACGATGAGCTCAGCGCAGCAAGCCGCGCCAACCATGGCGATCCAGCTGGGAGAGCTTCTGACCAACACCAAGGGCGGCAAGAGTGTGCCCCTGCGCGGCGAGGGCAGCGGCCCGCCAGTTTGGCAGTCCGCCGAAGTTCAGAAGATCGGAGGAGGAGGAGTCGGAGGAGGAGGAAGCGTAGTGCGTTCAAACCGCCACAGGCCCCTGGGAGGGCCCAGAGGCACCGGGCGAGAGCGTGCCTAATAGGGTCAAAGGCATCGATGCCAGCAATTCGCAACCATGACCGGCAAGACGTGCCCTCAGTGCGCCAAGGTCTTCTCGCGCCCCGGCGTCATGCGGGCCCACCTCAAGGCGGTGCACCTCGGCGAGAAGCCGTTCCAGTGCCCGCTGTGCCCCAAGGCCTTCGGCTACAAGCAGGCGCTCGACGAGCACGCACGCATCGCCCACCAGGACGTGCGCCCGCACGCCTGCACGGACTGCGACGCGCGCTTCCACAAGGCCGCCGACCTCAAGAAGCACCTGGCCATCCACGCCCGCAATGGCTTCGTGCACCGGTGCCGGGAGGACCGCGTGGCCCGTCTGCTGGAGGAGGAGGGCCTGCGCTTCGAGCGCCAGGTCCGCGTGGACTTTGAGGGCGGCGGTTTGGCGCGCCTGGACTTCCTGCTCCGCATGGACTGGGGCCTCTGCGTCGTGGAGGTCGACGAGGGCGCCCACTGCGTCCGCGAGCAGGCGGACGAAGCGGCGCGCATGCTCAAGGTGCGGGCCCGGCACGCCAAGGAGCCCCTGCGCTTCGTCCGCTACAATCCCGACTGCTTCGGCGTGAGTGGGCAGCTGGCGGAGGTTCCGCAGAGCCGCCGCGCCAGGACTTCGAGGTCGTCTATCTGTGCTACGACCAGGCCCGGCCGGACTCGCCGCTCCCGCTGGTCTGCGAGGACCCGGGCTTTCCTGAGGAGCTCAAGCCAGCGGTCAGAACGGACACAGCACCGCCGGCGGGGCCACCTCCATGAGCTAGAGGTCGGTGACCTCCATCAAGATCCCCCAGCTCGGCGGCATGAGCCAGCACTGGCGCAGCTCCACCTTGAGCTTGCAGCTGCGGCCGGCCAGGTCGCCGGGGTCCGGCAGCGGCTGGCCGCTGGTGTCCCAGATGTTGAACTTGACGAAGCTGTTGCCCCGGGAGCTGGTCTTCAGGCAGGACTGCATGCGGGCCTCCACCTCGTGGGGCACCAGGCCCTTGCCGAAGATCTTGAGTCGCGGAAGGACTGCTGCGAGAGCAGCTCCACCACCTGCCGCTCGATCTCCTGGAGCTGCGCCCGAGGCAGACGGGCACACGCTTGGCCTCGCGGTCGTTGAAGGCGGCGGGCTGCCAGCGCTTGCCAGCTCGGCGGGCGGCTCCCGTCCCTGGGCCACGATGGCGGCGACGTTGAACACGCGGTCCACGTACTCTTGAGATTCTCCAGCCCAGTGGATGGGTCCGAGGAACCACGAGTGCGGGCGGATGGGCAGCTCCAGCTCCGCGCTCAGGCGGAGCACGTCACACATGTCGACGGACCTGTGGAGTTCACAGAGCCGCCCGGCGCGCTGCAGCTGCAGGCGCACGAACATGCGCTGTTCGGGGACGACGCCGGCCAGCAGGCGCAGGCGCACGTCTTTCGCCCACCAGCTGTAGGCGGCGCAGTCGTGCCACTTGCCCAGCTCCCACTTGTGCAGGGGCTGCGGCTGCTCGACGAATTGGGTGTGCAGCGGAAAGGTCTCCGAGAAGAGCCACTCCAGGGCGATGCGCCCAGTCGCGCTTTGCAGAGCCATTGCGCCGAACCGCAAAGCTTTGGAAGTGTTGGATGCCTTTGACCCTATTAGGCACGCTCTCGCCCGGTGCCTCTGGGCCCTCCCGAGCCCTTCTCGCCGTTTGAACGAGCTAGAGCACGGACAGCCTGAAGTCGCCCAGGAGGAGGAACTTGACCTTCGGGTTCAGGGACAGCTCCGCGATGTCGGCCCAGAGGCTGGAGTCCAGCTGCGTGATCTCCTCGATGACCAATCGGTCCAGCTCGCAGCTCCCGTTGCGGATGCTCCTGCGGACGAAGCGGTCTGCCGTCTGCGCTCCCGCGCCCAGGTTCTGCACGGAGCAGTGAGTCTTGCTGACCAGCTTCACCACCTCCCCGAGCTCGCAGAGCTGCGCCACGATCTGGCGCGCCAGGTGCGTCTTGCCGGTGCCGGGCATGCCCGAGAGAGCAGGCTCTTGCCGTTGAGGCAGTGCAGGAGGGGGTCCTCCACGCGCTGCCAGCCCGGCGGCCAGTCCAGGTAGGGCGCCTCGATGTGCGGCTCCCGGTACTGGCCCTCCAGGCTCTTGCACTCCTCGGGCCGTCAGCTCCCGCACCGCCGGCAGGAACTTCTTGGGCAGGTCCTGGAAGACCAGGCAGTCCGTCTTGAGCGTGACGACGTAGCGCGGGGGGACCTGCTGGAGGTGGCGGCGGATCTTCGCGACGGCCACGTGCTCCTGGGCCATGACGTAGTCGTGGAGGGGCCGCAGCGTGTAGTTGCTGAAGAGCTCCGTGGCGTAGATGTGGTCCCAGTTCACCTTGCCGGCGGCGTCGGTGAAGGTCTGGCGCCACTGGCAGCCAGGGGCGTCCAGCTCGTGGTTGCTGGTGCGCATGCTGTAGACCAGGTCCTGGTTCCGGGCCCAGAGCCCGATGAGCGCGTTGACGCTGAGCTTCGCCATGTGCTCCTCGCCCTCCGGCCAGGCGTCCTCCATCTTCTCCAGGGCCTGGGCCAGGCACCGGGGCTCCACGTGCGCTGCTTGAAATCGCTCCAGGTCGCCTGGTTTGTTTCCATGTTGAACATTTTGCCGTATCGAAAGTCCCCATTTTATCATGTGATTTGCTTTGCAGTATTTCATGCACTCACATGTTTCACTTTGAGATCGAGTTGCATCTGCAGGCGTCTTTGAGAGTTCAAAACATTTTCATGGTAGCGGAGCTTGGGCTGACCCAAGCTTCGAGACACGGGGGTTCTCGTTCTTTGCAAGGCGAAGTTCGTGTGGAGCCTCTTGACGTTGTCCTGTTGGTTTAGGATTCAGGGACCCGTAGCTTGCAGTTCCCGGGGCCGACCGGACGAGCCATTGTGTGCTTGAGCAAAACGGCGACCTGGGAGTCGACCGAGCTTCTCAAGGAGAGGCTGCACAGCTTCTACGTGGAGCAACTGATCCGGAGGCCCAAGCCAGAGAATAGGTCACAAGTTTCGTGGGGTAAGATCCTTTACAGGTATCAGGAAGCGTTTGAGCAGCGTCTTGAGCAACTGCACTCCGTGCCTGAGGTGTGGCAGTTTGGACTTAAGTGCTTGAGCCAGGGAGATCTCAGAGAGGCTTTCATTGTATACGGGGCTGAGGAAGTATCCGACAGCTGTGTGCCCGAGAGTGTACAACTTGCATCTTTGCATCCAGAAGAAGAGAGTTCGTCGTTTGAGAGGGATCTTGAAGCAGCCGACGCCGACCTTCGTTCATTGTTGCGTGCCACCGATTGTGAGCCTTCCAGTTCTTCGGTGTGTCCCGTGTCTTCAGTGGGCAGGCAAGGTTCCGAGCGTCGCCAGAGATCCTCCTGTGCGAGCCAAGTCTTTGATCGTGCATTGAAGCATTCCGATTCTGTGATTGATTTGGAGTGAGCAAGTTTCTGCTTAAACACCGTCCCAATGGAGTCCTCGCAAGGCCAGCAGTTGCCCGTGTTGCCTCAGGAAGCCACAGCCAGTGGCAGTGGAAACCCGTTCCTCCCAGGCAGCCCTGCAGCAGGACAGCTTGACATGGCCCAGATGCAGATGCTGATGGCACAGATGGTCGAGATGGCCCAAGCTGCAGCACAGGCTGCTCAAGCAGCCGTTGCCAGGCCCTCAAGTTCGAGCGGTACAGCGGGGTTTGCCGATGCAAATAAGATCTTGAACCGTCCTACGGAGTTTGGCAGTGCTGTGCATGACAATGATGTTGCTCAATGGGCTGAATGGAGTCATAGCTTTCGAACCTGGCTAGTCTTCGCAGATCATGAGTACGAAACGGATCTCAAGATCGTGGAGGAAAACCTCAACACGCCGGTGGATCTGAGCACAGCTGACGCAGCCCGCGTCGCGAGATCCCAGCGGTTGTTTGCAATCCTTGCCAGTGTTCTGCGTGCAAAGCCTAAAGCCATCCTTCGCCAAGTGTCTGACAAGAGTGGCCTGGAGGTTTGGAGAGTCCTGACAAACACGTTTGCACCACGAACCAAGTTCCGAGGTTTAGCCCTTCTGAACGCCTTGATGAGCCTGCCAACCTTCACGAAAGACCGGAGCCTTCGTGAACAAATTCAGGGGTTAGAAAGGGTAGCTGAAGAGTATCGCAAGGTCACCAACAACTCGCCAGGTGAGCACGTGATGCTAGGGACACTCGTCCGTTGCCTGCCTCATGCGCTGAGACAACATGTGCAGCTGCAAATGTCTGAAGCTAGCACATACCAGAGCATCAGGGATTACGTCCTGGGCTATGAGGTGACGACCACCTCCTGGACCTCAGCGAAGATGCACCAGGCTTTGGGTGTGGTGCCCATGGCGCCAAGTGCTGGGCAAGAGCAATCGCCAGTGCCCATGGAAGTGGATGCGTTGATCCGCAGGGACAAGGAGAGGCATCCCAAAGGCAAAGGGAAGGAGAAACATCCCAAAAGCAAAGGCAAGGAGAGGCAGCCCAAAGGCAAAGGCAAGGAGAGGCATCCCAAAGGCAAAGGCAAGGAGAGGCAGCCCAAAGGCAAAGGTCCCCACCAAGAAAGCCCAGGCACAGGTAAAGGCCAGCGTGCAAAGGGAACATGTCATAATTGCGGTAAGAAGGGTCATTATGCCAGTGAGTGTTGGAGTGCACCGCGTGTCCAAGCAGTCCAGAATGCACCATCTGGGCACCCTTCCGACGCTGCAACGACTGTGAGCACGCTCGGACCTTCAGTTTCTCAAGTTGCGCCAAGCACTGCAACCACCCAGCATCGTCGTGTTGCGATTGACATGACAGGCCCGGAGTTCACCATTTGCCAAGAGGGTCGCATCAGTGCAGTGCTCATGTGTGATGGGCAATCCCGCCAGGGCGACCCTGACCCGAGTTGGTTGAGCTTTGTGAGTTTGTGCCAATCGGTTGCCAATGCAGCGGTGACTTCACCTAAGCCAGCCGAGTTGCAGCCTGTTGTTCCAAGCACCAGCGTTGAGATGTTTGACATGTCATATGCAGATGAAGATGGTGCCTGGACCGTGCCTGAGGGCGAACTGTGTGGTATCAACTTGATGCCTAGTGACAGGCCTGCCTGTGCAGCTGCGTGTTTGAGCACCCATGCGAGCAACTTTGCCGCCGAATGCAACACCAAGCGCAAGTGTGAAGTCAGCAAGCATGTCCCGGCAAGGATAAGGCACGCATTGATGATTCAGAAGAGTGCTGATGCGCGCGATGCGCTGTGCGTGCGCGCAGTGACCTCTGACATGCCAGGAACCACTATAGAGCTAGTGATAGACTCAGGCTCGGACGAGTCGTGCCTGCCCGAATCCTGGCGCCATGTTGGGGTTGCTGGCGGCATCACGACAAACAGCTATCGTGATGCTCAGGGAAGTGTGATTGCGGGATCACAAATGAGGACGGCAGTGCTTGACATAGATGGGGTTCAGTTCAAGGAAAGGTGGTTGTTGGGGAGTGTGACGCAACCGTTGTTTAGTGTGGGGAAACTCCTCAAACGGGGTTGGAATCTGATACATACCGACAATACCCCTTTCTTGACGAGCCCGGACAATGCGATCCGTGTACCATTGCATTATCGCCACAATTCCTTGCGCGCCACTGGAACAATCATGAATGTATCAGTATGTACTGATCACGAGGCCGACAGAGCTGTGATGGCGCTAACGGTTGGGGATGTTTGGTTAAGCCTGCCGGATAAGTTTGTCGAGGTTCAGCCCGGCATCTTTGCC